GGAGCGAGGAGCAGCAGCTGAGTTTGCAGAAAGCCCTGCAGCAGTGCGAGCTCGTGCAGAACATGATCGACATCAGCATCTCCAACCTGGAGGGGCTCCGCACCAAGTGCGCCGCCTCCAACGACCTCACGCAGCAGGAGATCCGCACCCTGGAGGTAGGGGCCCGGCCCGGCCCGCGCCCCCGCGCCGCGCCGCGGCTCCCCCCGCGCCGGGAGGGCCGCCCCGGGGGGGCTCCGCGCCCGCGGAGGGGGCTCCGCGCCGGGAGGGCCGCCGGCCGCGCCGCGGCCCCGCTGCAACCGCGCCGGTAGCTGCAGCACCTGGGCCGGCTGCAGTGCCGCGGCCGCAAGCATCCCTGCCATTGGGAGCATCCCTGCGGCCGAGCTGCATCCCTGCGGCCGGGCTGCATCCCGGGGCTGGGAGAATCCCCGCGGCCAGGCTGCATCCCTGGGCCGGGAGCATCCTCTCAGCCGGGAGCATCCCCTGGGCCTGGGCTGCATCCCTGTGGCCAGAGCATCCCTGCGGATGGGGGTATCCCCTAGGCTGGAACATCCCTGTGGCCAGGAGCATCCCTGTGAATGGGGGTATCCCCTAGGCTGGCAACATCCCTGGGCTTGGAACATCCCCTGCGCTCCCAGCATCCCTGGGCTGGGAGCATCCCCTCAGCCGGCAGCATCCCCTGGGCCTGGGCTGCATCCCTGCAGTCGGGAACATCCCCATGGCAGGAATGTCCCTGGGCCTGGAGCATCTCTGCAACTGGGAGCATTACTTGGACTGGGAGCATCCCTGGTGCTGGGTGCATCCCCTGGCCCACAGCATCTCCGCAGCCGGGCTGCAGTGCTGTCACTGGGAACATCTGCTGGGCTGGGGAACATTCCCGTGGCCGGGAGCATCCGTACGGYCGAAATCCAGCCTCCCTGTAGGCTGCATCCCTGTGGTTGGCAGCATCGCGATGCCAGGCTGCATCCCCACAGCCAGGAACACGTCCTGGTCTGGGAGCATCCCTGCAGCCAGGCTGCACCCTCTGGGCCCGGAGCATCCCCAGAGCCAGGGGAATCCCAGGGCTGGGAGCATCCCCACGGTCAAGCTGCACCGCTGCGGCCTGGCTCCCGCCTCTCCGTTGGGCTGCACCTCCATGGCCAGGAGCATCCTGTGGCTCGGAGCATCCCCCTAGCCCGGCTCCRTCCCCAGGGCCTCGCTCCGGCCTCTCCACCGGGCTACTTCCCTTGGCCAGGCTCCATTTCCTGGGCCGAGCTGCCTCCTTCCATGGGGCTCCGGCCTCTCCTGCAGGCTCTACTGTGCTTCCCAGTGGGAAGGGGAGGCCCTGGGAGCCAGGGCCTCTAGTGAGGCCTGCAAGGCTGGCAAGGCCTTCAGTGGAGCGGGAATCATATGTGATCCAGTGTCTCCTCTTAATGCTGGGCAGGCGGGCACAGGGATTTTAGGAGTGTTTCSGAGGCCTGACGCCCTCCGGCCTGGCAGCACGAGGGGCTCTGCTGATGGAAACCCCATTTATTGCCTACGTTGGGCGGAGTAGGTGGGTAAAAGGTTAGGGGTGGGCACCCTGGGTGCGGGAAGGGGCTCACGGACCCGTGTCCGTGTCCTGCTGTGTCCATGTGCGGCGGCCRGGAGCCAGCCGGGCCCGTGCCCTGGAGCTGCCCGCTGTGACCACGGGCGGCCCGAGGCCACGGCCGGTGCCACCGCGTGGCCCCCGTGGGACCCGGCCAAGGGGACATCACATCACGGGACCTGGCCAAGGGGCCCCCGTGGGCACCACGGCTCTGTGGTCCGGCAGCCGGAGGAACCCGCGGTCGCGGGAAGCACCGGCACAACTTGCCGGGCGGCCCCAGCATCTTGTGGCCAACATGGCATGTAGTTTTTTTTGGATCCAAGATCTCATTTTTTATTGGATCCAAGATTGCTTTTTTTTTTTTTCCCTGGTTAATCCTGATATGCTAAAGCCTGATTTTGCAGGATTAATAGTAGTGCCACGATTCATTATTATTTTTTTCCTTTTTTTAAACCATCTTAGGGTAGAGGCAAGTGCCAGCGTTTTCCGCGCTGCGATTGCCCAGGGAGCTGCTGGCACCAGCCTGGGCCTGAGCTCCGGCCYCGAGGCGCGTGGGGCTGGATTCAGGATCCACGGGCCAGGATGGGGGCCTGTCCCTAGGGAAGGGAGACTTCCAGGTCTTGTGCGGGTGCCGGGAAAAGTAGCYGGATGGTGCAGGATCTTTTGGTGCTTTGGGAAGAAGCTCCTGGGGAAGCACCGTGGCCATGACCAGGCGCGTGAGGACTGTTGCAGAGAGAAGGGTATRGGCTGTATTGTGCAACCCGGGATTCCCACGGTTTTCCTCCTCGTCACCAAGTGTGTGGATTCCCTGGTGTCTAGTAAAGGGTGAGCGTGCCGCTCCCCTTCCCTGCCGCTCCCCACCCTTCTGCGGCGCTGCCCGGCTGCCCAATTTCCACGTTTCACTGCCACGTGCTACCAGATCCATGGTGCACATGGGGATCGCCGCCGGCATCGTGCCGGGGAATGAGGCTTTCCTGGGATGCTGCCCGGGATCTTCCCAGCTGGGGCCAGAGCAGTGCCCGGGAATGAGGCCGGGAATGCCGTCCCCCCTGCATGGCAGCTCCGCCGGGATGAGCCAGAGCTGCTCCTGGGGCTTGCTGAGCCCTGGCTCTCTCTCCTCTCGCTGCTACTATACCACATATATATCTAAGGATACATCTCATATACCACTACCTACACACATACATACGTATTGCTTTATTGAGCATTTAGTGGTTTTTTAGGATAAAAGTGAACGTAGCAGGTGCTTCACCTCGTGTGTAAGTGGCTGAGCCTCTCTGGCTTGTGGAAGGAGCGGGGCCCAGGCGTCCTGGCTGCAAACTGGTGCAGCCCACGAGGGGTTGTCCTCGGGACTTCTGCTTGAGCTGGAGCCCCCAGTGCCCCCGGGGAAAGGGGGGAGCGAGGGGCGTTTGTGCAAACGCGGGGCTGAGCAGGGTGGATCCGCAAACGGATCCCCCGGGGGCTGCTGGCGCCAGGTGGAGCGGCCTGGGTGCTAATTCAGCTCTCGCTTGGTGGCCCCACGATTTGCCTATAAATAAGCAGGAGTTAAAGCACCTGAGGCCTGGGCCGGCTCCTGCTGGGCTTCCTGGGCCTGGCTGCTCCTGTCCTGGCGAGCAGGGCTGGCAGGTGCCTGTGCTGTCCCCAATGCCCTAGGGCTCATGTCCCCAGGGTGCTCTGAGCCCCTCTGCTCACCCATCGCAGCAGCACGTGGGGCTGTAGCAGGGAGCTGAGGCACGGAAGGGGTGCCCGCCTGTGGAGAAGTGTCCTGGGTGTCTTGGTGGCTTCTGCCTCCCACCTCGCCCGCTCTGCTTGGGCGCAGGGCGCGAATCCTTCCTCCCCGCTGGGCCCTCGCAGGCACCGTGCGCATCCCTGCGCCCGCCGTGCCTGGGGGCTCCCCGCTGGGTATCCCCAGTGTCCCGGTACCACCCGAGCCRTTTCCCTCGGTGTCCGTGAAGCTTCCAGCCAAACCAGAAGCGCCCCGAGCTGCTCGGGTCTGGGTGCGGGCTTCCCTCTGCTCAGGCTGCTGCTTATTTTGGTTTTTCTTTTATTGCTGTGGTCTCGGTGGCCCTCGGGGCCACGTGGCGGTGGCACAGCACCATCTAGCGCGAGCGGGGCTCATCCATCGGGAAGTGAGCGCAGGAAACGCCGGCGCCGCAGCAAGGAGGCCAGTGCTCCCTGCCGCTTTATTCCTGGCCTCCGTCGGGCCACAGGACACTCATTTCCCATCGGAAAGGGATAAGGAGTAGATGTTCCCGTTCCCAGTCCTGGCCCTGGGCAATGCTGTGGGTTGCTCCAGCCGGTGTGGTCACTCTCCTCCAGTCATGGATATATCGGATGGGGGAAGACCAGTCCCTGGTGCCCAGGAAGCACTGGGAGGGAGAGGATCACACACTGTCCCCCTGTCCCCTCCAGGGTGGCAGTGAGGGTCCCTGCATGGAGTGATGCTGGACATGCTTGGGRAGAAGGGTGTCTGGGAATGGGGGAAACCACAGCTCCAGGAACCTGCTTGTGTCCCAAAGGRGTCCTGCTTCCCCATGGGAGTCCCACGCATCCCTCCTTGGGGCATGCGGGGAGCAGTCTGGGGATACGGACCCCAMAGCGGAGCCGCCCTTGCTTGGGAGGGGGTTTCTGTTGCCGTGAGCAGCACCCGGCGCGTCCGGGGGTGCTCCCATGGGCGCCTCTCGCCTTGCCTTGCAGAGCAAGCTGGTCAAGTACTTCAGCCGGCAGCTCTCGTGCAAGAGGAAGGTGGCCTTGCAGGAGCGCAACGCCAAGCTGGAGGGCTTCCCGCAGCTCCTGCACTGGTTCCGCATCGTCGACATCCGCAAGGAGGTGATGGAGGTAAAGCCCCCGCGGCCGCCGGCCGTGGCCTGGGGACATCCCGGGACGCGGGTGCCGGGGGGCCTCGCTGGCGATGCCCAGCACCGGGAAGGCTCCAGCCTCACCTCGTGGGCCGCTGTTCCGGGATGGAGGATCTTTTCTCCTCCCTCCTCACTGGTGCCCTCGCGCAGGAAATCGCGCCGGGGCAGCTGAGCCTGGAGGAGCTGCTGGAGATGACGGACGAGCAGGTGTGCGCCACCGTGGAGAAGTTCGGGGCCAACAGCGAGGAGTGCGCGCGGCTCAACGCCTCCCTGTCCTGCCTGCGCAGCGTGCACAAGTCGGGTGAGCCGCGCCGCCTCTCCCGCCCTCTCATGTTTAGCTTTTCATTTCTGGGTGCTTTGGGGCTGCGTTGCTGAGGACATGGAGCTGGTGCCACCCGGCTAAGGGCTTTTGCCCTCGCAGGTTCCAGTCTAAATCGCTGCCCTGGCCAGCTAGGCTTTGGGAGAAGGGGGATGTCAAGCTTGGAAGCTGCAGCAGGAGCTTTGCTGTGTTGCTCCGTGCTTGGTACAAATAAAGGCAGTTTTGGGCCACTCTGGCACTGGGCTGCCCTCATGGAGGCAGGATGTCCCTGCTGGGTTGGAGGGAAAAATATCCAGTGCCATTTGGGATGGAAGCGAGTTTTGCCTGGGGCACCCGTCAGAGGCGCCCGCTTGCTAAGGGTCCTGCACCCGGCGCCCTGCGGTCCGGCCCCGCACGCGTCGCTGGGCAGTGCTGAGTTTGCGGGGCCGCCGTGGAGGGAAGCGGGTGCGGGGGCTCGGCCCCGATCCCAGTTCGCGCAGGGGCCCCTCGGCATCCTGGATCCCGCCGGCGGTGCCGGGCGGTGGCAGCAGAGCTCCGCGCTGGCGCTCGCCAGGAAGCCGCAGCAGCAGCAGCAGCAGGGAGGGCTCCTCTGCGGGCTGCGATGCAGCCAGAACGGAGCCCCCACGGCCAGGGGTGCCCGGGGGCTTTGTGGCATCCTGGGGGTGGTGCTGGGGAGCCCCCCGTGCTCCCCATCCGCAGGCTGCCCCTGCCCGGAGGAGGCGACTTATTCCTGCCGGGAGTCGGCATCTCCCTTCCCAGCGTGGGCAGATCCTTGGCTGCCCCCCGGTCCTGTCCCCCTGCTCTGTGCTCGGTGGCCCCTGGGGACGCCTGTCCTGCCAGGGAACCTGTGCAGTGTTTCGGGGCTTGGCTGCAGCCTGGGGCCGGCGGGAGGTGGGTGTTGATCCCTGCTGGATGGGGGCACCCCCTGGCCTTCGGAGCAGCCGCTGTGGCCATCGCTCATCCCCATCACGTTGGGGACTGGAGGGGCCACCGGGAGGGTTGCCCGGAGGGGACGTTCCGGGGGGTTCCACACATCGGAAACTCAAGGCATCTTCTGACACGGCGGTGGAGATGCTGCAGCATCCCCCCTCCTTCACCCTGCCGCGTGGTCCCAGGAAAATCTCCGGCGTGTGCTGACCCCTTTCCCAGGGGAAAGGGGGTCGTCCCATGACCAGCGCGTCCTTCTTGCTGCTCTCAACCTGTTCCTGGCRTCAGCTCCAGCAAGCAGCTGGAGGAGCCGCCGGAATGGGAATGGGAGTGGGAATGGGCTGGGTGATGGACATTGGTCCTCCGAAGCCACGAGGGATGTGGGGACAGGTCCCCACTGATAAAGTGCTAAGACTTCGCTCCAAGGCGAATGTCGGATGTGCCACAGGGCAGCAGATAAGAGTATCTTGTTCTTGTTGTTTTTTCCTTTTTCCTTAAACGACAATATTCCTACTGTTAAAGTGCAGTTAATGAACAAGCTGCTGCCTCATTAAAACTGTGCTGCTTATTTGCAAGCACCAAAGTGGTCGCCTTCGTGTACCCGAGAGCAGCGTTAATAAAGCTGGAGTCAGGCATGGAATTAACTTTTCCCATCAATCTCTCTCCACTGAGTCATTAATTAGAGGCTTCCCATTTTCCAGGCCCATCTTCCCTGGGAATGGGGGCTGGCAGAGTCGGGGGGGAAGCAGGATGCTGTTTTATTTTGATTTTCTTTATTCTTTTGCTGAAAGTACAATTAATTGAAGCAGGATTGATGGGAGGGAAAGCAGCCCATCTTGGGGGTATCGGGGCTGCCAAAGAGAAGGGAGCTTGTGCCTTGTCCGACCCTGCTCCCCAAGGGGCAGAGCTCGGGATGAGGACAGCTGTTTTTGAAAAGACCCCTATTTTCAAAAAACAGGGGTTTATCTTGGCCTGGCAGAGAAGGGGAGATGCAGGGGGGTGCTTGGGGTCTGCCACGCGTGAGCCGACAAGGAAGGCCCCTGCAGCAAACGCCAGGCAAACCCCACGTTAAAGGCCACTTTACTGCCTTAACGGGTCCCTGGTGGGTTTTCCCGGGAAGCCGAACCCGGCCGGCAGTGTTTCATTAGCGGCCGAGGCTTCGCGTTCGAGCCCCACGCGGGTTTAACTYGATGTTCAGTGAGAGCGGACGGGCAGTGGCCCTTTGGAGAGGGGAGCAGCTCCGTCCGTGTCCGCCCCGAGCCCCTGCGTCACGCTGGGACACGGGACCGTGCGCGTTCGGACACCTCTGTCGGACACGTTGGAGCTCAGGGAGCATTTGTGCCTGCTCTGCAGGTGCCTCGCCTAGCTGAGCTCTGAAAACTTCTATGATTATTATTATTAATATTAATTATTATTATTATTATTATTTCAAATTAGGTGGAAATCCAGCTCTATGGCATTCTTGATCTGAGCTGTTCTAGCTCTCTTTCTTGCCCTGGTCTTCCCTAAAACATTCCCTGGCTTTGCTCAGTGCTTTTCCCAGCAGGAAAAGCTCCTCTGCCCGTATGGAATCATGGTCCTGCTCCGTTGAGCTTCCCAACATCCCCGTGGGTCCCTCGGCTGCTGTGATCACTCCCTCTTCAGCAGGACTCTCATTTCCTTCTGCTTTTGGGGCACGTTTCAAGACAACGCTCCTCCTTTTCCCCTCCAGAGCTGTTTTTCAATCAAATCCAAAGCCTCTCATTTCAAAAGCCTTTATATGTGCTTCTTTTTTTTCTTCTCGAGAGTTTGAAATAAAATGTCTCCGTTGAAAAGGGTTCATAGATAACAGGACAGGCAATTAATAACCGAGCAGGGCTGGGGGGGAAGGAGCCTTTTTAAAATAAAGAGATCGTATTTTTATGCAGGTTTTATTAGAGGAGACGATCAAAAGAAGTAGGTGACGAGATCTCGAGTCCCGTCCATCATTTCGGCACTCTGAAGTTGGTGCAGACAGGCTTTTACTCATCTCCGCACTGGTGGGGACTGATAATTAAGTGCAGCTCTCCTTGTCCCTTTATTTTTTTTCCCCCTTTTCTGCACCCTGCAGAAGGGGAGAAAGGAGAGACTGGGGCAGGGGGTTGGTGCTGACGGTGTCAGCTGGGTGGTTGGGTTGGAGCTCAAAGGTCTTGGTTGGGTGCTGGTCAATTGGAGGTGATGGTGTCAGCTGGGTGGTTGGGTTGGAGGTAATAGGTCATGTCTGAGTTGGAGATGATGGCTCTTGGTGGAGTGCTGCTCTGTTGGGGGTGATAGGCCCTGCCTGGGCAGTTGAGTGCTGGTGTGTTGGAAATGACAGGTCTCAGCTGGGTGGCTGGAGCGGACGTCATGGGTCTCAGTTGGGTGTTTAGGTTGGAGGTGGTAGGTCTTGGCTGGGTGCTGGTGTGTTGGAGATGAAAGATCTCACGTAGGCAGCTGGGTGCTGGTGTGTTGGAGGTGACAGCTCTCACCCAGTGGTCGGGTCTCAAATCTATTGGTTGGGTGGTGGCCCCTCAGAGGCAATAGGCCTCACCTGGGTGCTTGGGGTGACCCTCTCTGCAGACACGTAGGGCCTGCAGGGCCTGAAAGCCTCTCAGACTATTGCCTGGTGCTGGCTGCAGCCTGGCCAGCTCCGCGCGGTGCTGGGTGACAGCAGAGCCGCCCCGTGCGTTGCTGATGAGCTGGGTGCGATGGGCACCGTGGCGAGGGGTCCTGCGCCCTGCTGCACGGCCCCACGCGCGTGTCTCGTTGCAGGAGGCAGCCTCTCCAAGCAGGACTGGACCATCCAGTGGCCGACGCCGGAAACGGGCAAGGAGAACAACCCGGTGGGCCAGCCCGAGGCCGGGCCCTGGCTGAGGACGCACGTGGCGCCGAGCCCCAAGGCGCCGGCCAAGTGCGCGCAGCACTCGTGCCACGCCGAGCGCCTCGCCGTGGAGGGGCTGCCGTGCGCCGAGGCCGGCCACCGCTCGCTGCCGCCGTCGCCGCGGCAGCGGCACGCGCTGCACACGCCGCCGCGCACGCCCAACATCGTCACCACCATGACGCCGCCGGGGACGCCGCCGGCGCGGCGCCGCAACAAGCTGAAGCCGCCGGGGACGCCGCCGCCGGCGTCGCGCAAGCTCATCCACCTGCTGCCCGGCTTCACGGCGCTGCACCGCAGCAAGTCGCACGAGTTCCAGCTGGGGCACCGCGTGGACGAGGCGCACACGCCCAAGTAAGCCGGCCCTCCTCTCTGCCGAGGCTCTGCACGAGGGCCTGGGGCTCCCAAACGCTGCTGTGGGTTTGGGGGGTGCAGATACCCCATGCTGGGGGGCTGTGGGATGTTTGCTGAGGGGTGCAGGGAGCTCCACGTGCTACCCCATTGCCCTGTCCTTGCCTTTGTGTACCCAGGGGACATCAGCTCCTCATGGGCCTGCGGGAGCGCAGAGCTTCCTGGAAGGAGGACATGCAGAAGGTCCCTTTTGGGCTATTTTGGACTCGCTGTGTATCCTCCAGCCCATTTGCAGGTTAGGGATGTGCAAARTGTCGGTGGTCTGGTTTAAACCCCCCCAAAAAAGGCAGATTTGAGCTCCGAGAGCAGGGATGGTGCCAGCTGTGTGCGCTCCGGGTGTGCACCAGCTCCGCTATCTGCCGGAGCAAGCGTGGGAAGCAGCCCTGCCGTTCCCCGCGTCCTGCAGGTCCCCCCGCGTTGCTGGAGCAGGGACAGGGCTCGCTTTGCTGCTGAGTGCGAGGCTGATGGTGCCCAACGTTGCTGTAAGGGCTGGGTGCTGGTGCGAGCACACGCGAGAGCCAAAGTTGGGGAGCACCCTGCGTCCCGGAGCCTCCCCCAGCATCCCTCCTCCCCGCTGCTCTCTGCACAGGGCTCCTTGGCCTCCTCCCAGCTCCATCCTGGTGCTGGGCAGGCTTGGGAGGCCGGGAGCACCTGGTCTGTGCAGGGCTTGGTGCGTGGTGCTGCCCGRGCCCCGCGGAGCGGCGCAGCCCGGACGCCGGGGCCCGCAGGGGACGCAGCAGTGGGCCCCGGCGGGTGCTGGGTGCAGCAGCGCCCGTGGCACAGGGTGGCAGCAGGGACGGCAGCGGGGACGGCCAGCGCTGCGGCTCCCGCGCCGGCAGAGGCTGCTGCTGCGCAGCACAAGGCTCCCGCGCTCCGGCTCCGCGCAGCGCGAGGGCTACCGCAGCCCTTCTGCTRCCCGAGCTGCCCATGGGCCCCGGCGTCCTGCGCCCCGCGGCAGCCGCCTCGGAGGGACCCCTTTCAGGACCAGGGCCTGGTTTGTACCGTTTTTATTCAGACTGCAGCGTCTGCTCCACGGTCTGTTCTTATGTGTTGTCACCTGTCAGGATATTGCCAATGGGTAAGATCCCAGGTCGGGATAAAGCGATGGGAAATGCCTGGAGAAGCGTGTCCGTGTTCACCTCTCAGCTGCCCCAGGGCCGCYGATGTCCGAGGTCTGTCCCCTTCCYGGTCAGACACAATCAGAGCTGCAGTGGGGCTGGAGCCTGTGTGTGCACCGGCCTCCACAAAACCCTTTGGGCCCCGCTTTCCAGCCGCCCCGGGAAGCCGAGCGCCTCGACCCCCTTTGCCCAAGGCAAGGGCAGCCCGCGGGCAGAGAGGGGGGTTTCTGCTCCGCTTGCAGCCTCCTTTTGGGGTGAGCCCCCTCGAATGGGGCGACTTGCCTTTCCAATTAGCGCTGCCTCCGGGCAAATCCCGCAACCCGGGGAGTTTAATAAACAAAATTAATAGAGGAGAGACGCGATGAGAGCTGGCAGCACTCTGTTGCGCTAGCGTCCTGCGGGGCCTGGCAGCATCGGCGCGGAGCAAGGGGGCCCCTCAAGGCCCGGGCTCCCCGAAGCTGCTCGCAGAAGTGTGGAGGTTAATTTACTCTAATGGCACTTAATGATTTTCAGGAGGCAACCACTAAATCCTGCCTGCTAATCCCATTAGTGTTGCAGGGTGGTAATTAGTGCATTAAAGAGACAGCATTTTCTTCTCCCCTCTCCTCTCACAAGCAGGAGGTTTGGAGGGAAYGTGATCCTGGCTTGGAGCTCAGCATGTCCCGTGTCCGTCGCASGGAAGCTTAGGAAGCAAAGTCGTCCTTAAGAGCAGCCTTGCCGGGGCTGCCAGGGCAGTATGGGGAGTGCAGGGCCACTCACTTACCGGGCTGCAGCATCGGCTCATCCTTATTTTATGGTATTGCCCACGTAATGCTCACGTTGTCTAGGTTTTCTTCCTAGACTAGCAGTAATCTCACTGCTTTTGATGGATGATTTCTGAGCTTTGCAAGGGAGCTCCTTGCAGGAGGCGATTTCATGCCTAACCTAAAACGTAGAGATGATTGAAACTGAGAATATCCGCACGAAACCAAGTTGAAGCCTATCTCCCTTTCTGGGGTTTTAGCTGTGCATTGCTTCTGATCTCGACTTTCCATTAGCGGTGTGATGTCTCACCATGGCAAGAGGTGCTATGCTCATCCCGGATAGCCTCAAGAGGCAAGAAGTGAGAGCTGGGTAGCGCGAGAGTCCACCTGTGTGCGGGAGTTGCAGAGCGTTAGGTGTTGATTTATGCTGCTGTAAAGGTTTGCAGTGTAATTCCCTGCATGAACAGAGTGTGACATGTCTGTGTCCCGGAATTCAAATCCCATCCACAGCCTGGAGTAGGTTGGCTTTTTCTGTGTTGGAGTCACTTTGGAAGCAATTTAATTCAAGTGGAGGGAAGCTGCCCTTCTTCCCCGGYAGACGTCCACAAGTGGGAGCTGCATCAGCGCGATGGTTCTCCTGGCATAAAGCATCTCCTGTGGAGGGGAACTCTGTTGTTTTCCTTTTCCGAGGTGGAAAATTGTTGCGTGGCCAGACGGTCACTGCTAGTGAACAGGGGGACCCAGGAGATCCGAGCTAACTCGTGGAGCGGGTTGGTTAAGCTGTGTCTAACTGGGTGGACATGTTGGGAGAATCAGGGCTGCCCAATGCCGAGAATAAGCCTGATGTCTCTTGGGGTGATTTATCTCATCCCCTTTTTATCTTGTCTCAGGAGGGGCTGAACTGTGCTCAGGGCAGCTGGAGATGCCCCTGTAGAGGGAAACTGGAGGGGTCTTGGAACGGACACCTAATGACTTCGGTTGAATCCTATGCTGAATAAGCCACCCAAGCCCTTCCTGCTGCTGGGATCTGTATCTCCGTGTTCAGAAGACTGCGTTTGGGCTGAGAGTTTGTTTTCTGAAGGCATCTCTCTTCTCCGTAGCCCAGAGCATCCATCCAGCTTCTGCAGACAGAAAGGCTTCTCCCAGCTCCCAGGGAGCTGCTGGCAGGGGTCAGCAGGAGTGGGTAGAGAGCCAGGAGAAAGACATAGCTCACGGAGAGAAGTCCAGGACCAGGAGCTGAATGTTCCTCATACCCTGCAGCTCTTGCCACGTTACAGGCCTGCAATAAAAGGTTCACCGTCGTGTTCAGGGATGATGTAAAACAACACAGGATTTGGGGAGAGCAGCAGCAGCTGCGTCCTCTCCAGAGGATGCTGCTTTACTGTTGACAATAGCATAAGGTTTTTGCATTTTGTCTTTAGGAGATAGTGTCTATAGTGTAATTCTCGGTCTCCTGCGCTTGTGCTTCCGTATTCCTAAATCTTCTAAAGCAGGGGTTAATTTTTTGGTCTTATCGCCTCAGATTTTCCTGCACGGAGCCTCCAGCTGCTGACCGTAACTCTGGGGTATGGAACATTACTCCKAAAAAGATCCCCTGGCTTCCATAAATCCACAACCCATAAACATCCCATGAACGGTCTTGAAACGGAAACAAAACATTTAGAGTGGCTGATAATATAATGCCCATTTAATACCTCATGAATTCCACGGGCCATTTAAATCTTTCATGGATAGTTAATGATTATTCATCAGCAAGAAGACAAAATAACAAACTCGGAATGGGAGGTCTTAAAAATACATTACTTGGGGAGCAAAAGTCAAGGCAGTCAAAAGTAAGCCCCGGAGGGTGCGTGTTAACCCTTGAGGGGTCATGTGCAAACTAGCTGACTTGAGGCCATCTCCATGTCGGTTCCCAGTTCTCCCAGCGGTTCCCAGTYGTGGTGTGTTTCCCATGCTCTAGCCAAATGAATGAGCCCCAGGGGTCTACAGCAAGCATCTGCAGGGTGATGAACATGTTGCATCAACAGTAAATCGAAGCAGTGTGACCTACCATGCCTGGGCTCTCTTGATAGAGATAAACAAGGCGGCCGCTGTGGGTGGGTGTGTTCGGGGTGTCCCTATGGCCTGGCTTGTGCTGAGGTCCCCACCTCTGAGGTGGCCGCGTGTGGTGGGGACGTGGGCACGTGGCGCCACGGCGGAGCCGGGCTGGTCGAGGTCGGCTGGGCTGCTGCAAGYGCACTGGTTTCCTCTGCCACCTCCTCCCGTCCCATCCTGTTCCTTCCCTTGGGCCACGGAGCCGTCTCCGGCCCCGCGCATCAGCTTTACGTCCTGTCTCCCGTTAATCGCAAACCCGTCCGCGTAACGCACGAGCTTGCGTATGTTCTCAAGGAGATTTCCTTGTCCTATATCTCTGCAATTGCCTTCAAGATATGAATTTGGATAGGGTTAGGCATGCTGATGGAAAAGATGCTTATCCGGAGCCTCGTGCCGCTCACCTTCACTGCCCTTAGGCTTGTTGACGTTCAGGTTCTTTCTTGGTGCTTTTTGGTATCCTGGATGGAGGAAGATACCCATCTGAACGGCTGGGAGAGCGTGTATCCATTTTTAGTTTTCCTTTTCCCTTGTGTTCTTCCCAGCTCTAACTCGGCCGCTGCCCCGAGTTCCCTTCCGCAGGGCTGGACGTGGGGGCACGCTCTGCTCTGGTGTTTCCTCCGTCGCGCGTACCGGAGAAATGGGGCAGAACAGGGCATTTCTTGTGTCGTTTGGCAGCGGCCTCCAGCAGCACTTCACATTTCCAAAGCCCTCAGACTGCTGTAAATGGGGTCTGTGTGAGCCGTGAGGAGGGGACAGCAGAAGGGACGGGCTCCTTTGGCCGCTCAGCGGCAGGAGCAGTCGCTCGTGATGGGGCTACTTGTTCCTGCCATCTGCAAGGGCCACACGGCCAGCTGTGGGTTGGAGCATTTTCACCCCAAGAAACAGGGCTCCGAGCTGCCTTTCCTGAAGGATTTCCCTGGTCAGCATCGTCACAGTGCTTGCGTTGAGTGCTGGGTGAGTTCTTGTCTACAGACCCAGCTCAGAACCACCGTGGCTCGAACAGCATTTGGCCACATCTAGCGTGGTGGCAGGAGACCTACCTGGAGCTGGCGCTTGAGACYGCCTCATCCGACTGGCACGTGGCTGTTGGGAAGCAGGGGGTGAAGCACGTCCCGCTGGGATGCCCCAGGTAGAGAGGTGAGCGAAGGAATCTGGCTCRCAAAACCACGGGCCCAGAGGTGATCTGCCCTGTTCTCTCAACGCTGAGCAGCCCGTGCTCAGCCTGCCCCTCGGAGGCGTTATCCGAGTTGGGCTTAAACATTTCTCAGTGATAGATCATTTATTATAAAGCTCTGTAACCTTTATAACAGCAATGATTTCCCCAGTATCAATTCCAACCAGCGTTTCTGCATAGTAGATCGATCACTTATTATTCCGCCTGGCTTCACTGCACAAGATAACGCCGCTGTTCCCTGTCCCTCTGAATGCAGCTGAGCTTGGGAGTGTGGATGGGCTCTTGGTGCGGTGGGATCAGTGCCGGCTCCTGTCACAGGGCAGGCRCGTGCAGCAGGATGCTGCTAAAAGGTGCAAATAGCCCCTGAGCCGGGTTGTGCTGCCTTGTTTGTCTCCTGTGCTGTCTGCAGGCGCAGAGACCTGCCCGGTACCTTTGCAATGGGCAGAGGGTTAGAAGGGGGAGACTTTTGGGAACAAAACAAGCCCCATCCACGTCTGTTTTCCAATAACCTTCCCGATGTATCGCTGCGCCTTCGGCGTCGCAGCGGCTCTGGACGGTCTCGGCAGCGAGGTGCAGCCTCCGTGGCGAAGCGGCGCTCCGTGCAATCGCGGCGCCGCGCTTCGCCTTAGGTGTGTCGTTAATGTTAATTACTGCCGTGGCATTGCAGCAGGAGCTCTGCCCGGCTCGCCAGGCAGACTTTTCCCTGTGTCCTTTAACGAGGAGTCGAGGATTCTCTTGCCACTCGAGGAGCCGGGCGCGTGATGATGAATTTAGATGAGAGTTAATGTCGTTGTCCCGGCGGGTGGCCGTGTCGCGGCCCTTGTGCCACCGAGTGATGGGCTGGGTCCCCATGGGGGGACAGCGAGGGACATGGCCCGGGCTGGGGCTGTGCTTGGCCATGGGGAAAACTGTTCCCTGTGGTGCAAATGCCAAAACATCCCAAGCAGAACCGCTGGGAATGCGGCTGCAGCCGGAGGGACCTCGACCGCGGCATCGTTTCCGTCATGCTCGCTTGGCTGGGGCGGGCGGCACAAAGCGGGGTTTATCCGCCCCGCTCCTTCCACACCCCTCAAGGAACAGGCCTGCGAAAACAGACCAACTTAATGAAAAACAGGAGTCTTCAGGATCCTGGCAATTAGCTTGGCAGGCTCCTTCCGCCCCGCGCTGCTGCCCTGCCACAGGGCCCGGCTTTTGGCGAGGAAAACTTCCAATTTGGGGCAAATTCTCTTCAAAGCCTTGCCGAGCTTTATAATTTGCAGCCTGGATAAAAAAGAGTAGCGCTACAAAAAGAGAATAAGAGATCAGTGAGAGTCACACCTGAGCATCCAGCCGTCCCGCGGAAGCAAGGACGGGCACTTGGATAAATATTTAACCACCAAGGCTTTGATATGAAGAAGCTGCTTTCCTGCTGGCCAGGGCAAGAGGGGTTTTGTTGCCTCGTACAGTAATGAGGAGGATAAATGAAGCAGCATCCTTTCCTGCCATATCAAGCTAATATTGCCTGGAGCTTGTTCAGCTCAGGACTCAGAACGAGGAAACTCCACCCATGCACACAGCTCCGCAGGCTGAACTAAGCTCCCGGATTTCCCAGCACATTTCCCTTGGACCCTCAGGGTGCCGAGGCCACTGGCTTCCTACGGAAAGGGGAGGCCGCTCTTCCCGCAGGGAAAAGCGCGGGAGGCGCCGCTGGGCACCGCGCTGCCGGGCACAGAGTGAGCGCTTGGGCTTCGCCTCGCTCTCGTTTAATACCGAGTGTTGGGCAATTAAGCCAGGCAAAAGGCCATCAATCTTCCAGGCTGGATCCTGATGGAGGCCGTGCACTTAAGCCCGGGCAGCAGCAAGCTTYAATCCTTGTGGAAAGCTGAAATGCAAACATGTTTTTTAAATTTTTCTCCCCGCACACAGCCCCCKCTTGCTTTTCCCTCTCTCCCAAAGCAATTCTTGCACAGGGACCGCAGCGCATTAGAGACGAGAAAAGGAGGAGACGGAACCTGAACCAGGCAGCCACGGAGGCCAAACCTCCCGTGCCTGTTAAATCACCCCTTTTAATTTTGATTGCTCTTAGCGGGAGCGTTCTCGAGCAACACCGAAGGCTGCGGGCGGCTCCCCTGCATCTGCCCCTTTCCATCTCTCATCTCTCGGGGAGGCTTGAGCCTGCAAATGCCACCAGGACTTTCGCTTGTGCAACTGGAGAAAGACTCTGCATCCCTTTYGGAGGGTGGAAACGTGCGTTTGGGAGTGCTGCGGGACAAATACGCAATTGCTGCGATTTTTCTTCATTATTTTTGAATAGGAAGCTGTGAGTAACGCGGCGCGCGGGCGAGCGAGCGGGGCCAGGTGCGCTGGGTTTTGTGCGTGCCAGGTGCCTGCCCGGCATCTATAGGAGCTGCCGCGTGCCGGGATGCCGGCGCGGGACTGCGCGGACAGCGCCTGTCAACGCGCTGAAAGGAGGGCCGGGCCGCTCGCTCCGTGCCTGTCAGGGGCTTTCACTGCTAGTGAAAGCATCAATATCCCTTTTTTTTCCTTTTTTTTTTTTTGGAGCTGCTGATAAGCGGTTGACTTCTTTGGCGTCGCAGGTGGGGATGGTGCCTTCAATAGGGATGGATGCCGAAAGCAGCGGGAATTCAGCGYGGTGGCCTTTGCAAACGGCCCGTCCTTGTGCGTCCTACATAAAATCACATACCTGCCACCCGCATGTGTGACCTCACGGGGTCTGACCCCGAGCGGCTGCGTATAGAGGGTCCCCTTTGCGCTCACCTTCCGTCACCCTGTTGGACTGTGGTGGCTTAGGGTGCTCGGGTGGGTTTTTTTCTTCTTTCCTCCTTATTTCCCCCCCAGAAAGATAGAAAAGCAGAAAAATAGCTCTCTGCCCAAAATCAGTCATCCTTCCTCATAACGAGAGCTGTCAGCAGCCCTGCACGGCGAGGAAATGATGCGCTCGGTAAATAGTTGCTCTGGAGCTGATTTATGGGTGGAAAACAATAAGATTACGGTGGCTAATGGGTGCGTGGCAGGAAGCTCTTTGGGGTCTCGGGCGCTGCGTGCAGGACCCTGCGGAGCCCTCCGAGCGGCCGCTGCGTTTTTCCTGTGCGGGGAAGCAATTAGCGGTTTAATGTTCGCTGGTAACGAGGGCCGCCAAGGGCAGCGCGGTCATTTCCTCCCCGTTGGCAGGCCCAGATGCCCCAGGCAGCGCTGGCAGCTCCGGCTTTTCGGGGCCGCTCGCTCCGCACCTTGCCCGCTCCGCTGCTCCTGCATTTCTCCCCCTGATTAAAACCCCAGCGCCACGAGCAGGAATGCCCCGGGCTCGATGAAAGGCAGCTGGGGAAATGGGCCAGTGGTCGAGGTAGTCAACTGTGCCCACAGGTGTGTGTCGAACATCTGGATTTCTCCTCCCTGGGGGTATGTGGCTCTGGGAGGAGGATGCAGGGTGACTTTCTAGACCTGCTTCCACCACCTCCATGGGGCTGGGTGGCCTCTGCCCCCAAGAGGCTTCCGAACCAYGCGCCCAACACGGCAGGATGCAGAATCCTCAAACAAGGCATGTCCTTGGAGACTTCATGAAAACAGGCGACAGTGGGTGAACATGGACATGTTGACATCACTGGCAAGTAAAAGGCTGATAAAAATGGTTAATAACAGGCGTGTGGGTGACTAGAGGCATGCAGCCCCTTGGGTGTATGGCGTGTTTTGGGGAGGCTGCTGTGGCCTTGGGGGAATATCCCCTCCAGGTTCCTTGCACTTCACTCTCCTCCTTCCTCTGCTTTCCAGAACAAAGAAAAAGAACAAGCCCTTGAACCTCAAGATCCACAACAGCGTGGGCAGCTGTGAGAACATCCCCGCGCAGCGCTCCCCGCTGCTCCCGGAGCGCTCCCTGCGCTCCTTCTTCGTGGGATACCCGCCCTTCCTGCCCTCCACRCCGCCCGTCCACACCGAAGCCACCTTTTCTGCAAGTACGTCCCATACGTCCCATCGCGATGGCTTCTCCTTCCTTTCCCTTTTTTTGTTGTCCCTGGGGTGGAGTGTTCAACATGCTTTGCTTGAGGCCATGCATGAGATGCGACCACAGGGAAGCTCTGGGAGAGTCTGACTTTGCATCCATAATGGATAAATGCATGATGGCCAACTGCTGGATAGATGCCAAAAGGTGCTCTTGTTTATGTTTTGGGGTGAAACGTGCTGGTATTAGCACAGTGTGCAAAAGGGATGAGCTTGGCACACTGCCCCTGGGGGCCTGTCTGCCCCAGGACACCTTGGTGCCACCTCCAGTCGCAGTTGGGARCTCTGGAGGTGCTCCAGACCTTGGATGAGCTGTACTGGGCACCCGTTGTAAGGGGGAGCTGATGACGAGCATGTCCCCCCACAGGTGCTTTGTGTGGGTGTCTGAAGCTGCATGGATACAGCTGTGGACAGATGTGGTCTCGTGTCCTGACGGTGCATAGGTCCCTATGGGAGTGGGAAGGTGGCTGGTTTGGTTTGGAGACTCTCAACACGAGGGTCACTTCCCAAAGGCTCTCTTCCTAAACCCAACAGGAATTTGGCCGCCTTTTGTTTCTCTTTCATCAAGTCCTTCCTCCTCTTTGTCACCTTCTTTCTTTTCCCTTCTGTCCACTTGGTTCCCATCGGCAGCCGCCGATGGTTCCCGCTCGATCCTCCTGCGTGGCCTCGGGCTCCCATCCCTGCTGTGTGTACCCGGGAAGCGCTCAGTGCGGGGCAGGTAGAGCGATCCTGGGGCCACAGCCTCTCCCAGGCCACCGCAAGGAGAAGAGCTTGAGATTTATTTATTTTCACCCCAATCAGCTGCCGTTCGGAATTGTTGAAGGGTCCTCGGGGTATATCTGGCATCCTTTTACTCCCATTTCTGTGGCTCTGGGGACAATGGGACCTGGCAGGAGCTCTGCAGGCAGGCGACGTTATTTATAGAGAGATGTCCAACTACCTGACTCTTGCTGGCATGGCCAGTGGATTTGCCTGGAGTGAGGGTATTTTTGGGTATCGCTCTTCACCCCGCGGCCTCAAATGAATCTAACTTGCTGCCTGCAACGAGGGGGAAGTAGTGGACCAGAAACCAGGGAATCAAGCCCATTCTCAGCACACCGCCGATGTGTCGTGTTGCATTAGGTTTCCTCATGCATCAGCGTTCGATTACGTTCCGTGGTGTGATAACCTGATGCAATGTGGCATAGCAGAAACGCGCCGCAATGAGAAGTGATGGACTCTCGAGTGACTAACGCTGCTGCAGAGGTGGCTTTTTCCACTGCCCTCCCCCTGGTCCTCTAGCTTGGATGGCTGCTGCAGTCATTCATGGTTGGAGCCGGACAGGAGCCGTCAGGAGAGCGAATTGGCCGCACGGGCACGTCTCTGTTGAAGGGTTTTAGCAACGGGCAAGACGTGGCTTTGTAGGTAAAACCTCGGAGCAGGAGGGGCTGGGCTGTGGTCTGCATCCCCATAGGGCTGTGACCCTATAGGAAAGCCAGACACGTCTTGCAGGTGGCAGCTGGTGGCAGTCCTGTGACGCTGGGGCCGGCGGAGGTGAGGGCAGGGATGGCTCATCAGGGAGAGGCCGTTATGTGAAGAGCTTAATGGAGCTTGAAGCCAGGGCTCATTATGTAGCAGGGAGAAATGAGTTATGCCCAGCGGTGCCAGAGCAGACTTATTTGTGGGGAGGAGTGACCATCTCTGCGGCGCGTGTCAGGCTCTGGTGTGCTGCTCTTGGCTTCCCCTTGGGCGCTTGCACCCCAAGGCCTTGCCCCTTCTCGCTTGTGGGACCTCATGGGTCAAGACAYGGGAATTACTCCTTGTCTGGTCCAGCCCCTTGTGCCTCCAGAGCTGCTGGTGTTTTTCATTGCCTACCCTAGTCAACACTGCCTTGGTCCTGCCTGCCATGAGCTGTCCCAGGCCTCTAGGAGGGACGGGGATACACATCAATGTATTGCCTTCCCAAGGACCATCCCTCCTTAAAGCCATTAACATCCCAACTGGAAGAGTCCTCTTCCCTTTCTCTCATYGTGGTGTAGGATCAGCCCTGGAGACAGGCTGGATTGACGTGGAATTGCTTGTCTAAGCTGCCGAAACAAAAAATGTTGTTGCTGTCGTATTAAGATGCCAGCGAAGAGCCTCGCAAGCCCTTTCCGAGACCTCTATCTCTCAGGCTGAAGGATACTGTCTCTCGATGATTTCTTTTCAACGCCCGGCTGGTCCTGCGGCCGGTGGCAGGAGCATGCTCCTATCCGAACCGTCTCTGCTCCTTATCGGATGGCACTGATGTGGACATGCTCGTTCTGTTTTGTTTTCCATAGCAGATGTGCCCTCATTGGGATATGTTTTTGCCAGATGATCCAGMGAACAAGGCTGGTGAGGCAGGATGAAAGATGGGGTGTGGATGTGGTCTTTGCTAGGGCAATTTTATTCCTGTTGAGGAGTAGCCTGTTCCTGTTGAGGGTTTATTCCTCTCCCTTCAGAATATCTTCTTCCCCACGCTCTTTCTCCATCAAGCCCTGGTGGAGTTGGATCTTTTCTTTTTTTTCTACCATCAGCTGCCAGGTCTCCTCCATTTCCTTTGAACCTGGTGATCCCAAGGAACTTTCCAACCTGTGATACAYGTATATGCACAAGTGCTCATGGATCCTAGCATCCCTGAGTGCAAGAGAGAAGATAGTTCATCCCAGTTGGATCCAAAGACCRTCTCTTGGTGCCTCTGGTCACTCCCTGTCACAAGCCTCGTGACCTGTTAGCCTAGCTTAGAGCCTGTTAGCTTAGAGACAACAGACAGGAGTTGACAGCCCATCACTTTGCTAGGAGCCAGAAATCAGGTGGGATCTTCAATTTTTTAGGAAGAGTCTATGTCTAGTGTATCCTGTGCCCCTTCCTCTCTGCTATCTGAGTGMCCTGAAGCTGGTTGGCACCACCAATGTGCCTGTGCCCTCTGCCTGTCCTCTGCTCTGCTGCAAGCCTGGCCAGAGCACTCTCACCACGTGGATCAAACTGTTCTCTTGAGGCCTCCAGGATAGGCCAACAACATAGTTTCTTTCTTATACTATTAAAAAAAAAAAAAAAAAAAAGGAAAGAGAAAAATGGAAGGACAAAGGGGTGGAAGGGCATGTTGCATGTCCCTTTGCAGGTCTAGGACAGAGAAAATGAAGCAGTTTTCCAGATGACTGAACTGTTTCACGCTCAGATCTAGCGTGGAGACCTTCCTGGAGGCCTCTCCCCCAGGAGATGAATGTTGGCTGGTTCCTTGCATCCCTGTGCATGGCCCAGCTTTAGCCCTGGTGACTCTGGAAACAGTCTTGGGGGAGCTGGTTTCTCCGCAGGCTTGGACTTGCAAATCCTCACAGATCCGATTAGTTCTAATTTTTCCAGGGTCTGCAGGAAGTGCTGATGTGGTTCGGAAAGCAGAGCAGGGAAGCATGGGCCATAGGAGAGACCTCACGGGACAGGACACTAGTCGGATCGTGACCCTTCCCTGCGGGACACTCTTGCTGCAGGAGCAGGGACAGAGTTGGAAGGTGGCTCTTGCTTGGGTGGGTTCCCACCCCACTGTGATGGTCACTGTGACCCTCAGCACCCAGAGGTGCGTGAGAGGGCATGATGTGCCCTTCCTCCAGCCATAGCCAATGTTTGATGCTCTAGCCAATGCAACATAATACGACCCATCTGGTGATTGGACCTCTTGGATCCTGCGCCTGGCCCCGTCTCCTGGCTTTGTGACCAAGGACTAGCAGCATCTGCAGTTGAGGGCTCTGGTTTTGCCTTCCTGGGGTTTAGGGCTGCTAAGCGGTGGTGGCCGAGCAAGCTGCGAGTGCTGAAATGCCACCCGTACCTTCTGTTTCCCAGTTCCCTAAGCTGCTGTGAGAAAGCCCTGCGCAGGACTGGCCTTGAGGCACGCCTGACAGGCTGTGGTGAGGATTTATGGAGCTAATAATGTCCGGTGGCTCCAGCCCTGGGAGCCTTGAGCTTCTGGCTGCTCCTTTCTGCAGACCAAGAGCTGATGCTGCTGTGAAGAGCACAGGGGCGAGAAGAGGACAAGTCCACATGAGCCTTCCCACTAGTGCTGCCCCAGCCGGACCTCCTGTCGGCAGGGAGCTTTCCAATGAGGTGTAGTTTTGTGTTTAGTGACCATCGTTGGCTTCCTTCTCCTTGAGCTCGCCCTGTTCCCCCTTGCACCCAGGCAAAGACACCCAGGACCCTGTGGCCCTATCTGCTCCTGATGGCAAGTCCAGCTTGGACCTCAGTCCCAGTGGCTTTGGTTTTGCCGGAGCCCCGTCCCCAGGTGGCTTGGCAGCGTTGCGGTGTCTGTAGTGTTGACCTGCTCCCGAGAGCAGCGCTGCAGAGAGGCTGCCGAAGCCGCCTCCGAGGGCGGAGGATTTCCCATTCCGGCGATTTTAGGCCGAGCAGGAAGAATACGGCTCTGTCTGCTTAAGCCTAATTGACCCTGCGAGGCTCTGAACGGGGGAAAAAGTCACAATAGGAGCATTTAAGCGAGTGAAGTGACTGAACGTGCCGTCCTGGCTGTATAAACCACGTTGCCGTGCTGCAAAGTTGAACACTGTTATCCAGCAGCTTCTTACGGGCAGAGCGGGGGTGAGGGAGCAGCTCCTCCTTGGCCGCTCATCGTGAGCCCATGGGCAAAAGCTGCGGTTTTGTCCCAGCCTGCTGCAGCAGCGAGGCTCCCTCTGCTCCCGTGGAGGAGAAGACAAGTGCCATTGCTCCCATGGAGGAGAAGACCATTGCTCTAAGCCTTGCTGTCGCTGCATCTTTCTGCTCTCTGGAGATGCCTGGGCTGTGTCCGCTTTTGGCCCGAGACCTGGCTCTTCCCTAGTCCTCCATGCTTGGCCAGAGCGTGAAGGTGCCTCGCAGAGGATGCCTGCACCCTTGGATGCCTCCACAGGCAGGTTGACCTTCTCTGCTGACCGTCTCTGACTATCACTGCAGAGAGAAGGGTTTTCTTTGGCGTGCGGTCTCCTTACCACTCGAGGCGCAGATCTGGATGATGGGTGCCGTTGCTGGCACAATTTGAGGCACAGCTGGTGACTGCCTTGGCTCTGCTGGTTGGAGTTTTCTCAATCCAGTGCCGTTTTTTCCAGAACGTGATCTCTGTGGGCGAGAGATGGAAATCTCCATCCCTCCCACTAGGAAAGAGAAAGGTTATTTCAGTCGTAACAAAAGCCCCATGAACAGCCCTGCTCTAGCTTACGGATCGCACTCACTTTGCTAGCAGGGTGCTCAGAGCTGGGGTTTTATTCCCTGCAGAGTTGGTCCTGCCCTGTTTTGTGCTGGCATCGAGGTGGGAACTTTGTTCTGAAACGTTTTTCTTGCAGGGCTGGAACTGGCTCTCCAGTTGCCCTCTCCATGGGGCCTTCCCCCATGGGGCTGTTGGCTGCATTGTGGGGGCTGGATACGGAGAAGTCTCCTTGGCCATGCTTGGCCACCAAAGTCCAGTGATGGGAGATGGAGTAATGAGATGGAGATGAGGTGGCATTCAAGTGCGCCAGCTCCTGATGGTCAACAGCTGTGCAAGCCCCATTTCTGAGGATAGAGGTTGTGAAGATGGAGCAGAGATGTAGGAGGTGGCCTTTCCTCTGTGCCATTCCCTGTCTGTGTTCCTGCCTTGGGTAGGGTCCTTCCTCCGTTTGCTGGGGAGAGCTGTGTATTTTCAGCGAGGTCAAGAAGGCCATGTCTAGACTGGCCTTGCTCTTCACAGTCAAGACCTGTAGCACATGCTAGAGCCAACAGTTGACGCCGAAACGACTGGGTTGTGAATGAAGAGCTGTCATTGAGATGAGCTGTTTGGCACATGGTCTGCACTGCTCAGAGATGGTTTTAGTCTTAGCTGGCAAGGGTATGAGTCCAGAAGCAATATGATCCAGTCACAGTCGAGTGAAAATAGCGGTCACTAGCCCAGAGCAAGTGTTTGCCAATAGGGTGGTTTGTCTGTGGAGGACTCTTGAAGTAAGACCCCATGTGGGAGCAGGCTGGAGAGCAGAGCCCCAGCCCAGAGGTGAAGCACAGAGTTACCCCATAGCTCCTTGGCATCACCCCAAGTCACCCCAGGGCCACTCTCCAAGCTTGCTCCCGTCAGGTTTATCCATCTCACTCACACTGCTCAAAGGAGTTTGCGTTGTTTAGTGCCGAGGGAGGAGCAGGGCTTGGTTATCTGGTGGTCACCGCAGCAGAGAGCAAATCCAGACCGACTCCCCCTGTGCCAATGGAGGAACGGGCCAAAACGCAACCACAAGGGGTGCGACTCAATGTACCCACTTGAAATTACTTTGGGGCAACTGCTCTCATTGGCAAAATGGTAGGGTGCCCATGTGGATGCAAGAGTGATGGGCAAGTGGCACCATCTTTGGGGTACTTGGAGCATCCAGGTGCTGCTGGCCAGGAGCGATGCCCCAGGAGGGCTTGGAGGGTGCTGGGGACTTGCAGGGCCCATCAACCCTCGCTGGTGGCGGCGGCGGCAGGGGGGACATCTCACGTGTGCCGCGGGCAGCCGGGCGCGCGTCACGGCCGAGGCGCTCGCGGTGCCCCCGTCACCGCGGCTGTCACGGCTGCCTGTCACCGGTGGCAGCGGCGCCGCGGCGCCGAGCGCGCCTGTCACCCGGCCGGCAGCGCTGCCGCCGCCCCGCGCGCTGATCCCCGTCAAGCGGCGGCTGTTGATCCAAGGATAAACTGTGCCGAGCGGAGCGCCCGCCGCGGCCCTTCCCGGCCACCGCCGTCGGTGCCGTTCAACCCTTTCGCTGCCGCGTCTTGCATCCAGCTGGGAAACGCATCGAGTGCAGTGGGATATTATTTATTAGGGAAAATTCCTTCCCTCCATTCACCTGGGCATTTTCCCTGCTGCTCTGGCTGGTTTTTATTCCCCTCTGTTGCAGCCAGCACCTGTGCTGCTGCGATCTCTGTTTGCACGCTGCTGGCGCGCGGTTCATAAACTGCAAATTGCCGAGGTCTCACCTTGGTGAGGAGGTTAAAACCCCCAATGCACTTTAATAAAAACACCTTTAGAAAGCAATTAAAAGCCTGGGCCTCTTCCTGCATCCTCCCTCTCCCTCTGCTCTCTCCGGGCTGGAGCTGCAGCAGCTGCTGGTCTCGGTGCATCCAGGCCCGGTCTCGTGCTGGCCCGATTTTTGCTCCTCCAAAGCCTTGTGCGTGACGGCAAGCGCAGGCAGCCGCATGCAAATGTAACCTTCAGGCAGGGAGGGCAATTACAGTGCGCTCGGCCCGCGTTATGAAGCGGGATATTAAAGCAAACAGCGCTGCTCCCCGCGCGCACGGGTAATATCGAGAGCAAACTCGGCGAGCGATCTGGCGGGCGGCGCGGGCGCGCGGCCGGCTCCAGAGCCCTGCCCGGTGCCGCCGGCGCCCTCGTGTCTTAGTAATGAATTACCCGGCTGCGGCTTGGGCTTCACTCCCCCTTTTTCCTTGGGAAGCTTGGAGAGGGCCCTGGATTTGCATTCCTGCGTTGGCTGGAGATTGTGTGCATGTGCATATGTGTGCACAAGGGCATATGTACACACATGTGTGTGTGCATGGGGTTCCCCTGGGGCATCAGGGCGCCCTGGTCCATGCCAGGGTGCGGGAGCGCCCACTTGCCCCGCGGGAGCCATCACTTGGGAGGGGAGATCCGCCACCAGAGGGGCCGGGTTGCCGCGGGCCCACGCGCTGACGTGGGCTCGTCCCGCCGTGTCCCCCCGCAGACACGCTGTCAGTGCCTCGCTGGTCCCCGCAGATCCCCCGCCGCGACCTCGGAAACTCCATCAAACACAGGTACGGTGCCCCCGCGCACCCCGTCCCCTCCGCTTCCCGCTGCCCGGGCCCTTCCAGCGCTGCTCCATCCCTCCCTCCATCCCTCCCTCTCTCCCTTGCCGGGCCGGGGGGGCTCTGCACTCTCCCCAGGCTCGAAGCCCATTTAAAATTCACCCATGCCTGGTGTAGATAAGACACTATCAGTTAAAGGAAAAAAAAAAAAGTGTCTTATCAGCTGCCCTGCCGACCTTCACAATTTCCCCTTCCCTCTCCCCAGCGCCACGGAAAATCGCTGCGAGCAGCCGGGATGCACGCGGGGACACAGGGACAGGGCGGACCGGTGGAAGTGGCAGCTCTTACCCCTTCTCTCCCGCCGCTTCTCCCTGCAGGTTCTCCACCAAGTACTGGATGTCGCAGACCTGCACCGTGTGCGGCAAGGGCATGCTCTTCGGCCTGAAGTGCAAAAACTGCAAGTACGTTGGCACCGCAGACCCCTCGGAGGCTACCAAGCACTTTGCCATTTAATATTCATGTATATTTTAAAGTATTTTCCCTAAAAGTCTGGATTTTTCGAAAGGAAGCACAGTTTTCCTGCCTGCTCCCTGTTGTGCTCAGGGGTACTGGTTGGCATCCAGTCCCGGGGGCTGCACCACTGCCCCGTCCCCATCCCTCCTGGCCTTGTGAGCAAGGGCAAACACAAGGGATTTCTGCTAGGCTGGGGAGGAAAAAGCGGGTATAAACAAGCAAACAGCCCCAAAAGGAAGAGCCGCCGAGATCCCGCTCCCCAATGAATGCAGAACGCTTTCCCTAGGAAGCGCTTCCTAAGCGGCGCTCCTCGGCTCTCATTACCCAGCTCACTGGCTTGTATCTGCTAGAGTTTTTTTTCTTTTTTCCACCCTTTTGCACTTCATTTTTGGCATATTTTTTTCCCTTTGCTATCCCCACGAGCCGGAGCGGCTCGGGGTGATGGGACACGGCCGCTGCCTCCCTGCACGACCCGCGGCCCCGGGCACGGGACAGGCTCCGCGGGACAGAGCGGAGCCGGCGGAGCTGTAAATGGCCTCATTATTTGGGGGAAGCGCTCCCGATAAAGCTGGGATTCATGGAGAGCCAAAGGGAGGGAGGGGACCTGGTGGGAGGGATGCGGTTTCTTCCCCTCTGCCACGCTGGAATTGAATTAAGCGTAACCCTGTGGTCAGCAGGGAAAAGCAGACGGGGCTTTGGCCGAGTTTGGATGCCCTTGGGGCTGCGGGAGGAGGAGGCAGCAGCTCTTCGGCCTCTCTGGCTTCTTGCCTCCCCTGGGGACAATGGGAAGACCTGGTGGATGTGGTTTCTGATAGGACACTTGCATGTCCCCCTGCCCGGGAGTGATGGTGGGGTGAGGAGCATGTCCCCATCCTCATGTGGCAGCTGGACCAATAGCCCACTGGGTCCTTGTCCGGAACCTCCTTAATGGAAAGCAGCGAGCAAACGAGGCCTTGCAAAACGAGGATGTCCAACTGAGCGCCCCACACCCCTCCCATCCCTTTCCTTACGGATTCCTTCTCTTTGTTTTCCCCTGCTAGGCTCAAGTGCCACAACAAATGCACCAAAGAGGCCCCGCCGTGCCACCTGCTCATCATCCACCGCGGAGGTAAGGGCTGGCTCCTCCTCGCAGGCGCTTTCCGCTGCGGATCCTGCCCGCAAGCACCCCAGCCCCTCGGGAGGCTCCTGGTGGCCGCCGGGGCGCCCTGCGGAAAACTGCTACCCTCCGGAAAAATGCTACCCACCGTCTTTTCCGCTTGTAGGGAGACGAGCCGGGCGGTGCGAGGCAGATTTGCATCCCAAACCGCTTCCACCCACCCTCCCCCTGCCACCTTTCCTTTGCAGATTCCCCACAGCTCGGGGTAAGTGCAACAGGTTTTAGCCTTTCGCTACCGGTGAAAGCTGGCCTGGGTGGAAGCGAGTCCCCGCGCCCGGCGCCGGACGCCACGAGGACGCGGGATGCCGCTCGCCACCGCTTCCCTTGCAGAGCTCGGTGGGCGCACGCGGGGAACGGGGCGGCGCTCGGTGTCCATCCGCCTCTGGCCGCTGCTGCATGTGCAATAGCACCCAAATATTCTGCCTTTTCGGAATATTCCTCCTTTTGAGAAGGGGAATGTGCGTAAGTTGCAAAGCTGTGGCGCTGGCGTGCGGCTGATCCCTTGCTCCAAGAACGGCCGAGCTGCGGGAGCTTGGAGTGCTTGGAGGCTGTGCATCCTTCTGGGAGCTGCTCCTGCACCCCGGTGCTTCCTCACCCCCGCGGAGGCTCCGCATGGAGAGTCTCTGGAGCCTGCAGCCCTCGCCCCTGAATCACCTCCTGCCCTGACTGCTCTCTTAAGTCTTCATTCTTTCTCTCTTCCCCCTCTCCATCCCTCGCCCCCTCTCCTGCCACGGTGCAGCGAGGCTAGTCCGGACCGAATCCGTGCCCTGCGACATCAACAACCCCCTGCGCAAGCCGCCCAGGTACTCGGACCTGCACGTGAGCCAGACGCTGCCCAAGACCAACAAAATCAACAAGGTGCGAGGCCGTGTCGCGCCGAGGCAGGGGCAGCGCGCGGGAGCACGGGGCCTCCAAGCAAACTTTCCGGTTTCTGGCAATTCCAGAGACTTTTTTCTCCAGAAATTCCAGAGGATGAACTGCTCCTTGGTTCTTCTTTGGGGAACTTATCGAATCCCCCATGTCATTCAGGTTCTTGGGGGTGGCTTTTGACCCTCACTTTATTTTCCTTAACCTTTCCCCAACCATAGCATAATGGTGCTCATTATATAAATTTATGTGTGTGTATACATCTATCTATCTAAAAAGCTCTACATACATCTTTATACTTGGAAGGCTGCAGAGGAAACAGAGGTAGCACCAGTGCACATGAGTGTGCTAATAACATGTATGTATGTGCGTGTGTGTATGTGTGTATATATATATTTATGGGAAACGTACCCTGAGTACCCTTTATCCCAGAGCTGTCTCCCTTAATAGAGAGCAATTAATAAAAAAAATTAACAGAGGGCAAGATCAGCCAGGCAGACACAGGTATGACTCAGGACGTACGTGATGCACAGCTATGTCTCAGGACATATGTGATGCTCCAAAGACATTGACGGTCCTTTCAGATGTTTGTGAGTGGAGCCTCCAGCCCTCCTCCAAGCAAGGTGCTGGGTTTTTGGCTTGATATGAGGTCAACTGAAGCTGATGTCCCTACGGATCAAGCCCCAGGGAGGTGGGTCCCTCCCATGGGTTTATGTGGCCGTGTCTAGGAGACATAGACAGGCTTTGGGAAGCCCTCAACTGTGGTTGCACAGAATGGAGGGGCTTACAGGGAAGTCCTGTTTCATGCAAAATGTGACCTCAGTACAAACTGATGAAGACAAATGGCTTTGGAAAGTGCTGCTGCTGGGCTCTTAGGCTTTTTTGTGAAGGGTGAAATACTAACTCTTAGAGGGTCATGGCCAGCCAAGGTGTCATGGGTGGTGGGCTTAGAAGGGCTCAGAGCAGTGGACACAGCCCTCACTCTGCTCGTTGCAGGGATTTCTGAACCTCATGGGCACCTCCATCCTCCCCAGGCAGTGAGCAAGCCGTGAGGGATGCGGCTCCCTGCTTGGATGGAGATACCTCTCCGGCATGGAGCTGCTCACCATCCTGAGAGCCTCGGAGGGTCTAGCGTTGGGAAGAGTTGGCTGGCACCGCTCACCAGCTCTTCTCTCCTAACTGCAGGACCACATCCCGGTGCCCTACCAGCCGGACTCCAGCAGCAACCCCTCCTCCACGACCTCTTCCACGCCGTCCTCGCCGGCGCCGCCGCTGCCGCCCAGCGCCACGCCGCCGTCCCCGCTGCACCCCTCGCCTCAGTGCGCGCGGCAGCAGAAGCAGTTCAACCTGCCAGGTACTACCGTGCGTGCCCAGCCCTGACGAGAGGTGTCGCGTGAACTGCCTTGGGGAGGGAGACTTGGGATCGTGTCCCCTCGGGCGGCCTCAGCGTGGGGATCAGCGAGATCTGCTCACCTGCCCATGCTTTGCTAGGATGGGGAAAACTGGAGACAAAAGAGCAGCAAACCCAAGCTTAGGACTAGTGTAATTAGGATTGGAATGGAGCAGGAGTCTCTGGTTGAGAGCCCTGCTCAGAGCAGGGTCAGCTCTGAGGCCAGAGGAGGTTGCTCAGCAGGTTAGGCAGGCTGAGCTTGAAAGCCTCCCAGGTTGAAACCAGCACAAACTCTGCAGGCAACCTGTGCTGCTTGTTGCTGTTGAAGAGCTTCCAGGCATGACTTGTCCGTGATGCACGCCTCTGCGTGCTCATTGCCTCAATGGCCAACGGGCAGCAGGTTCTTACCCCTCTTCAAGGGCCACCTGAGGTGCCTTCACTGCGTCTTTGGGTTAATGCACCTCTAACAAGCTTGTTCTCAGGATCGGACCACAGGGACACACGGAGCAACAGAAGGGAGAAGCTGATCCTGGAGAATGTCTGATCACTTTGGCCTATGGAATCTTCTCTGTCTATCTCCGTACTGAGGTCTGGAGAGGCCCATTTGCCAAGGAGAGGCTTCCAGAGCTCAGTCTTTTCAGGGAAGTCAGAAGAGCTAACTTGCTTACAGTGTGTGGGTCCCTGGGCAAGAGGGGACTCTAGTGCTAGAGGACAGTGAGGGTCAGTGGCTGGAAGCCACAGCCAGGTGATTTCAGGCTAAGAGGCAGCAGGAGCATTTCACAGAGGGCCATCAATCCTGGGGAGATGTTGTCAGGGGAGGTGACATGTTCTTTATGCTTTGCAGTCTTGCTGGCAGTGTGGTGGTGCCGTTGGGGAAGCAACCCTATAAATTACTCTGAAATTAGAGGCCAGGGCAGGGCTGGCTGGGTGAGGCAGCAGAAATGCAGCAGTTGTGTTGCAGGGCTGGAAGAGCCTATTCTGGCCTACAGATCTGTTGATTGTCTGTCCCAGTGCTGCAGATGTTTGAGGACACCCCCGGGACAGTGTTGCAGCCCCAGGAGAGGTCCCTCGCCTGGAGGTGATGGCTCAACTTGTATACTGGAAGCATTGAGGGGCATCAGGCTTCCCCGGCCATCACCTTCTCTACCTGGACACTCCAGGAAAGGACTGGGGATGGGAGGAAGAGTGGACGTTGTGACCTGCTGAAAGAGCCCAAGATGAGATCTCTCCAGACTGCAGAAGCTGGGATTTGGGCTGCTTGCAGCAGTGGGTTCCCTCAGCTGAATCCCTAGGAAGACTCCTGTTCCCTTTGTGTGGGTCATGCCTGGCAGGCCGGTGCCCTGTGGCTCTGAGGACCGGTACCCAGGGACCCAACCAGACCTAGTGACCTGCCACATGGCCACGGCCTCCGAGGCCCTCGGTGCTGCCCCTCTCTGATGGCGCCTCAGCCACGAGGTCAGGATCTCTCTGCTCTTCCTGGCTGCGAGCCCGGGCACTGATGCGCTGCCAGCTCTCGGGATGGGGAGATGCCAGAGCCAGACGGCTCCTTCGTGCTCTGGTAATTCGCCTGCGCTCCTCTCCATTCCTCCCCTTGCATCTTGACAAGCCTTTAGATAGGGTGGAGGAGGAGAAAGGCTGAAGAGGGGGGATTTGACTGGCAGGATCCGTTGCCGTGGTAACCACCGTTTCCCAAAACTGAGGGAAAAGACATCAGCTCAGCTCCCCGGTCTCCAAGCTCGCGCCTGGCACCTCAAGCTGCCTGTGGCCTCGCAGCAAATTCCCCCTTGCTGGAGCGTGCCGGGAATTCAGCCGGGATGATGGAGGGGAGAGCTGAGAACACTGCAGGTATCGAGAGGAAGAGCTTGGTACCAGCCGGGCAGTAGCTCAGTGTTTTTTGAAAGCCTTTGCATACGTGTAGCCAACTATGCTCCTCATCCCCCCGGCTGGGGCAGAAGAGGCAGCAGAGCTGCGCCCATCCCGTGGTCACTCCGGCAGAGCCAGCTCTCCCAAGCCTCTCGTGGGCTCCAAGACCTCCGAGCAGAAGCTGCAACTTGCAAAGAGCAAAGCACAGGATTTGCTTCCACACGTGTATGAAAACATTGGTGTTGGTCAAGCCAAAGCCAGCCTAGTGCCAAGTCTGGTTTCTGTAGACAGCGGATGTCTGAGATGCTCTGCAAGGACATGGAGAGCTGTGCATCCAAGCAAGCCAATGAAATGTGGAAAACAAACGTAACAAAGAAACATTTGGAATTTAGCCTAATATTCTTCTGTTGGACATAAAACTTGCGGTAGGAGCCAGTTTGATACAATTTCTTCGCCAGCTTTTATCTTCATGCATGGGAGATCCTTGGTGCTTTAGAGCAGCCTCATCAAGACGGTCATCTTGGGGATTAGGATTTGTGCTTGGAAACTGATACAGTGACTTTTCCTCTGGAATTACCTTTGAATCTCCTTTGATCTCAGCTCAGAGAAGCACGAATCCTACTGCAAAGCTGATGGACAATCTTCTGGGCTCTTGAAAGAGAGAGTGGGATCCACACAAGCCATGGGATAGCAGGAGCTGACACCTCAGGGGCTTTGATAAGCATTGAGTGGCCAAATCCCCCAGGTGGCTTCTCAGCCCCTATCAGCTCTCTCCAAATGCTAATTACCGATATAAAGTAATAGTTGAGGCTGGCAAAGAGAGGAAGTAGGAGTGAATAGCGGGCACGCGCTCTCCACAGCCATCTCCAGCACCTAGAGCAGCAGCCGGCGGGCAGCTCACCGGCACCAAGCGGTTCTTGTCACTCAAGTGCCTCTACCCAGGGCTTGGCATCTGCTTGGGCATGACCCTGAAGAGCTTAGGGTGAAAATCACAGGCTAAGGAGGACATGCTGGAGACCCAGGAGGGAAACTCAACTTCTTCATATGCTGGATATGCTTGGAGGGTCAGCGAGTGGAAGGACTGCTTTGCACTGCTGGCCCCATCTCTGTGATATGTCCATCTTATCAGAGGGTCGAGAGTCTTATTTTTTTGGCTGTCTGTTAAATGTGCATGGGCTTTGAAGGAACAGTAATCCATCATTTGAGAGATGGATGCAGGTGAGGGGAGGCTGTGCCCAGTAGATGCTGGGAGGAGGAACCACACTCTGGTCACCTGTTTTGTGGTGCTGGGTTTGGCATCCCTTGGGTTGGATTCTCCCCAGCACTGAGCTCTGAGACTCGTTTCTTATCCTCCCTTTCTGTTTTCCAGCTTCCCATTACTACAAGTACAAGCAGCAGTTCATTTTCCCTGGTAAGTCTCTCCCAAAGGGTGGTTGGTGGGGAAGGCAGCGCGCTGGGGTGCCTCGCAGATCACTGGTGTTGGCTGTTGGGGATACGTTTGGACATATCCCCCTGGATTCGTGCAGGGGAAGGGGTGCTTGATGGGGGGATTCTCCCCCAAAACGGCCGCAGGATGGCCATTCGAACACCATGCTCCTCCAGGACAGTGCCCCAATGACACGCTGCAGACCCGGGCTGGGCGACCCGCAGTTATACCCAAGAGCTTTCCCTGGATGTGAACGGCGGTTCTCAGCCCCGCTGGAAACACGGGTGGCGTTTCCCTGGGTGCCCTCGGCCGGCTCGCTGGGTGCACACCTGGAAAGGCTCCTTGCAGCGTGTCCTGCCCTGCTCTCACCGAGGTCTATGCCTTTCAGATGTGGTGCCTGAGACGCCAACGCGAGCCCCGCAGGTGGTCCTCCATCCCGTCAACTCGAACCCAATGTAAGTGGCTCCTCCCTCCCGACTCTGACCCCTCGTGCTGCAGCCCTTGATGGGAGCCTGAGCTCGTTAGGGTAGCGTTAATGAAGGTGTTGTGCCACAGAAAGCCCAAGTGGTTAATCTTTTCCTAGAAGCACAACAACAAGGCCTTTGAGAGGGGGCTCATCAGATCTCCTCAGTAAAGGCTCTTGTCCCAGCTCTACCTGTAGCATTTTCAAGAGATAATCCTTGAACTCAGTGCTGCAGGTAGCTTGGAAACTCAGTAAGTAATTGGCATCCAAGAATAGCTCTCCCAGCAGTTTGGGTCAGAGCTCCTCTGTTTAATCCAGCGTTTGCTGCAGTGCTCCACGACCACCATCATCCGTGGTGCTCCGGCAGCATCCAGCAGCCCCATGGCCTTTTGCGGGTGGCTGCCCTTCCTGCTCATAAACGCCACTTTTGAAGGATTATATAAGCTGGAAATTTAACAGATAGGATCTCGGGCCAGACAGAGACATAGTTTCTATCCAGATCGCCCACACGCCTCTCGCTGAACTGGCAACCTGTCAGGGGGGTCTGAGGGATCTCCTCTCTGTCTAGGAGAGGCCGCCACAGGGACGAAGATGGAGCGGCTCTGCCCATAGGTGCTGGCAGCGTGGAAATTAATGGCAAAGCAATTAAGATAAAGCCTTAAAGGTTTTTTTTTAAGGTTTTTCTTTTCCTGAGCCACAGAAGGAACCAAAATGCATCTGGTCATAAAGAGAGATTTTTCACATTGCGCTTCTCCCGGCTCTCTTCCAGCATAGGGAGTCTGTGAGATGAGGCTGGAGTCCACCCTGCCAGGTCGTCATATCTAAAGCAGTGTCAGAACTAGGACTGAAAGGTTTTGCTAGGTGAAATAAGGTCTGAATTTGCAAAATACGTGGTTCTTAGCAGCTTACCCTGCTGAAAGTAACCCTGTGAAACCCCTGACGTGGCTCCAGACGTGGCTGGACTGAGAAGTGGGTTCTGCTTTATATCCCGAGATACTCCGGAGACGGATATTAGCATCTGTACTAAAGTTCAGCCTAAAGAGCCTGTTTTCCTGCCCGCTGCCCTGCATCACACTGGCCTGGGAGGCTCTGCAGAAAGGTTTTGCCCAGCGGCTCATGGCACTCGAGTGGGGACTCGATGGAGGAGGGAACGTGGACCACATGGACCACAGTGTCCGTGCGAGGAGAGCTTGGCGCCGCTGGCAGCTCCTACAGCTCTGACCCTCCTGAGCTGCTCATCCCCAACGCTCCCCGGGAGCGACCGCGTGCGAGGGCCTCGAGAACCGCTTGTGGAGCCGGTGCTGGCAGGCGCCGTGTGAGCAGAAAGCCAAAAGGGAAGCATTTTGACCCAAAGAAGCGGGGAGATAAATTGCTCCTGCTGCCGGGGCATGTTCTGATGCTCTTACTGTGCAGAAGGTCTCTGCAATCTCTGCTTTATGGAAATTACTGCAAACCCATTTTCATCCGTTCTGGCAAGGAGTCGGGCACACGTGTCGCTTAGGCTGGTACTCGCTGGGAAAGCGAATCCGGTCTCGGGAAGCCCTGGGAAGGGCTGGGAGCACCCGCACCAGGGGCGCCGGGATGTTCAGCCCGGGGCGCGGAGCCCTCTCTGCGGATGCTGTGCCAAGTGCGAGCCCGTCCCCGGGGCTGTTGTGCTGGGCTCGATCCCACGGAGCCTCCCGAGGCTGCCGCGTGCTGTGCGTCCCGCCGCACAGGGATGCAGAGGGAAGCGGGATGGAGGGAGGCAGAGGGGAGCGGGACCTGGCGGCCGCGTTGCGGGGCTGCCCTGCGCCCCCCAGACCGCTCTGTTTTCACACTCTGCTGGTTTTTTTAACAGCCTGGAAGGAAATCCATTACTTCAAATTGAAGTGGAGCCGACGTCGGAGGTAAGATGCCACCAGCCGCAGTGCAGGCTCTGCATTTTGCTTCTGGAATGAAAGGAAAACTCGGGAAAGCAAAGATTGCTAAACCACAGGGCGTGCGGCGGGTCAACCCTGCAGGTCCAGGTTGACCTGGCACCAAAACAGGCAGCGGCCTCGTGGTCCCTTGTGGACTTTGCGCCTGTTCTCATGCTCTTAGTCCTGTGCAATTTTATAAGGCTCATTGGAAATGCAGCCTGGCCTTGGAAGGCCAGCACGGGGGATGCAGTGTCTTGGGTGCACTTAGATCTGCAGAGAAACACACAGCTCGGGAAAGGGAAAGCCTGGCTTATCCCAAGCTCTCCAGGCAGTGGACCTTGGGCCTCTGCGGTGAGAGCTGAGGGTGTTAGCAGAGCACTGCTAGGGAGGCGTGGGATGAAATTCTGCTTCCAGGTGGATTGGTGAAGGGCTCTGGTGGGTCGCTTTTGAGTCTGGTTTGGAAGCTCCCATGGCATCTCCTGAAAAACCTAGATGCATTGACCTCTGCCTTCCTGTGGCCTTGGAGGAATATAGATGGAGTCAGGTGATCACCCAGTTGCTTTTGGGAGACACCCAAGTGGGTGCTCAGCCCTGCTTGTCTCCCTGCAGAATGAGGAAGGCAACGAGGAGGCCCAAGAGTCGGAGGACGACTTTGAAGAGATGAACCTCTCCCTCCTCTCGGCTCGCAACTTCCCCCGCAAGGCCAGCCAGACCAGCATCTTCCTCCAGGAGTGGGACATCCCCTTCGAGCAGCTGGAGATCGGGGAGCTCATTGGCAAGGGGCGCTTCGGGCAGGTGTTCCACGGGCGCTGGCACGGCGAGGTGGCCATCCGCCTCATCGACATCGAGCGGGACAACGAGGACCAGCTGAAGGCCTTCAAGCGGGAGGTGATGGCCTACCGGCAGACCCGCCACGAGAACGTGGTGCTCTTCATGGGAGCCTGCATGAGCCCTCCTCACCTCGCCATCATCACCAGGTAGGTCCGGCGCCTCCCTGCGCACCCTGCTGGATTCAGGAACTTGCGGAACCCAGTGGAGGAACATCCTTCAGCCCACTGAGTAGGTGGCAGCTGGTGGGATTATGTTGGGCTCACGGATCCTTATGGGCTCTGCAGCTCTGCTTGTGCCCGGGGGCACGTAGCTCTCAGTCCTTTCTACTGCCGAGCTAGGAACGTTATTGTTTTGAGTAATTTCCTTCTCATTCCGAAGTATATTCCAGCAGTCAAGCGCTACCTCTTGACAAGCTGCTGAAGGCATCACAAGTCATGTCCTCCTTGCTGCCCTGACCGATGTTCTCTATTGCCAGTGATTTATGGTGGATGTTGGGAGCAGTCCCTCTCGTCATTGAGCTTAGCTAGACACCGATGCTTTGGTGTCATCGGGAAGGCCATAGTGCAGGGCTGCCACTGGGGTGGGATCGACAAGTTCTACCGTAGTCCCTGTCTGGAAAAGGTGCAACCGGAGGGGTTGCAGCCCGCTCCGCTGGGATCTGACGGGACCTGGAGCCACGTGAGCAGGGCTGCAGCCCAGGGAACGTGTCCGATGCCGTATGCCGGCGGGATGGACCTGCTTGGGGCTCATGCACCGGCAGGCGCCTGCAGGGACGTTGCCCCAGGGAGCTCTCGCAGCCGGGCAGGGAACAGGGCTGTCACTTGAGCAGCTGGGGCTGCTGAGCCGCACGCAGCAAACCCGGCAGCCCCGCCGCTCGCTCCGGTAATTATCGCGTGGCTAACGAGCACTCCGAATGGGGAATGGGCACACAACTCCCCAGCTGGCATGAAGCTCCAGGGCTAGTGGCTGCCCAGGTGGGCAAGCACAAGGTGAGCGCTGCCCGCAGGCCAGCTCAGGGGACGGGGAGGCTGCAGCGACTGCCCCTCTGCCCTGTAGCACAGAGGAAACCTTCCCACGGGATCACCTGAAACAACCCGTGTTTTCACCTAAAATATTCCCATTTGCCTGGAGCGGGAAAGCTGCATAAGGCCATTAATGGCGAAATAGCATGTGGCCCTTTTGCAAGTTCACCATCCAGAAAACTGCTCCCAAAGCAGTCTTGGCTCTGAGGGACACTGGTGGTGCAGCACGTGTGCTCCAGAAACACGGCATGTCTCGTGCCACCTCCCTGCCGTTGGCTCTGTCGCCAGCTTGGGGCATCCTGCAGCGGTGGGTTTCCTGCTGAGGGAGGACATGGCTTTTCCATCCTGCTCCTTGAAGGACCTTTTGCGCAAAGAGACCTTTGCAGTGCCTGTTTGCACAGCCTTTGAATCCCATTCAGCATCAGAGCTTCGGGTAATAGGTATTTTTAAGCTACAGAAAGCACTTTTTGACTCTAATGCTGCTATCTAAAAAAACCTCTCAGGTGCTGCTTTTTGACAGTTTGGCACAATAAATACAGGCGCTGCAGTGGTTTGATGCATTAATATCAGGTCTGCAGCCACTTAGGGGTTGTTTTTCCCCTTTCCCCAGCTGCAGCCCGGGCTTTTTAAGGTCAAAGTTGGGTGTTATTGGCTTGCCCCGATCCACCCTGTGCCTGCGATGCCCCCGCGCGCTGCGGGATCCTCGAGGGCCGAATCCCTGGCACTCCCGGGCTTCGCGGAGCCGGGAGCTGGTGCTGGGGCGGCGGGGACGTGGCGGTTCTCGGCGGGAGGGAGATGCGGCCGGCGGCGCGCGGCCCTGCCCGGGGCTTCGCCGCGCCGCCCCGCGCGCCTCCCCGGCCGGTATTTTTAGACAGTTTTATTTTTACCGCTCCGTTTTCCTTCCTTCCTCTCCTGCCGCTTCCCTTCCCGGCGGAAAGGCTCAGGGAGCTGCAAGTGGGACAAGCAAAGAGAGCTCGGATGGGACCGACCCTCTGCTCTTCGGGGGCCTGTCCCGGGCCAGCGCTTCTCCAAGGGACCCTGGATGTGACCGCAGGTCCCGGGGCACGTTGGGGACGTGTGGTGGCCCCTGGGGAGCGGCATTGGAGGCCACTCCAAGGAGAGCTCCTGTGGGGGCTGCTAATGAGCTGCCTCTTGGGTAACGAGCGGTGGGGACAGTTAACATCCATCTTAATTAGTCTCGAGGCGGCACCGAGGCAGCCTCACGGGCCACATAATGGATGGCACGGACCCAATGTGAAAGAAAGGACTGAACCCTCCACTTGTTTTTTTTCCTATATGCAAAAAAATCAAGGTTTTTGGACGGAGGGAGGCAAAACCTTGGGGGCTCCTGCATGGGCCGAGGAGCTTCCAGTGTCCCTCCAGCCCCGGGCTTTGGCCGCGCTGCCCGCCCTTCCTTTCAGCTGCCTCTCCCCTTTCCCAGCATTTGAAATAATGAAGCTCGTCCATCATATAATAAATAGCTATTGACTTCTTGCCAGGGGCTGCAGCAGAACGGATTGACCCGTGGGAATGCGCTGCTTCGCGATCGATAGGCGCCCATCAGGCTGGATAAATCTTGATAACGACTGGCACCCGGGAAGTCGATACGAGTATTAATATACACGTTAACGGGGCATTTATCTTCCCGACGAGGCCTGGGGCTTGGATGCCCTCGGCTGCGCGACGCGGAGTCGGGACAACGGGGGCGGCATCGGGGGCTTAGGAAGCTCTGCTTGACTCAATGCCCCGGGATGGACGCGGCTTTGTGTGCTCCTGGGAGCAGCATCTCCGGCTAGGAGAAGCTCCTTGTGGTAAAATTGCATTGTTGTTTATTTTATTTCCTAAATAGCTTGTTTCTTGTAAAGCCCTGATGGAATTGTGGTGATTTTTAGGGGGAGGATTAGCTCTCCTCCTCATCCTCCTTCTCCTCTTCCTTGCCTGCCTTGAGGTCCGGCTACCTCGGAGCAGGGGGACTTTTTGTGCCTCTTTGGCTCCTGCAGAAACACCCATGTGGGAGCTGCCCCACGGCACCGTTTCACCCTTGCTGTGGCTGCAAGCGCTGCTTGGGGCGTTGCTGCCCGGAGGTTTGGTAGGAAAACAAGTGTTTCCTGGCTGATAAAGCTGCCGGCTCCCGGGAGAGGCTGGGCGAGCTGCCCCGAGGAGGGTCTGCTGTGGGAAAGGTCCTCTGCTGCTTGCAGCCTGGTGCTCTGCAGCTCTGTGCAACCTGCACCCTCCTTCCAAGCACCTCGGGTACCGCTGGCCCCGCAAAACCCCCCTGTTTTGCAGGATTTTGCAAACCCTCTTCTTAACCTCTTCTTGCTTCAGATCCGAAGTCCCTGAATAGCAACTGTCTGTCCTGAATAGGGAGGGTGGTTTTTCACTGTGCATTTACCCCGGAGCTCCCCAGGGACCAGCCCCAGGGCTGGCGGCTTTTGCATCGGGGCCACGTGCAGGTGTCCTGGGGGTCTCCGTTTTATGCCCCCGTCTTGATTTTGAGTAAAGCAAATAGGAAGGAGATTCTGCTGCTCTTTTAGGCCTGCTTAAATTCCCATCTTAGGGAAAATGCTCCTTGCTACCTTCCACTTATTGCACTGCCCGTTCCCAGCAGCCAAATACTAGTTAGGGAGAAAAACGAGCCGCTCGGCAGCTGTGTTGCCGTAGAGGACTGGACCTCCTCGTGTCACTGAGAGGGGTTTGCACCGTTCCCCTTGCAAGCCCGTGCAGCTGAGGTGGCTCAAGCCGCCCCCGTCGGCAGACGGGACCTTTCCGAGCCTCACGGTCTGATACTAAATCCCCAAGGGATGGGGAGCGCGGGAGCTCCCTGCAAACGCCCCTCGGCTCCGCGTCTGTCTCTCCCCCAGCGCGGCTGCACTCAGCGAGTGGAGGTATTTTTACAGCGAATACATGTTATTAATTCCCACTCTCTCCTCCGGTCTCTCCCCTGCCGTCTATCACCATGGCACCCCGGCGGCTTCCCCATAAATCACTCCGGCGGGAGCTTCTCGGGGTCTGGCGTTTATCACTTTGGGGCATCACAATGATGGATTTGGGGGCTGCTCTTTGCTGCTTTGCCTCCCGCTCACCGTTTTGGCACGGCGCTGTGGTGCAGCCGAGTCGGGTTGCGGGAAGCAACCGTCATTGGAAGGACGCCAGATGCGTCGGAAGCCGCAGCCTTCGTCGGAAGGCGGTTTTGGAGAGGGGCAGTTTTGTTGTGTGGTCGAGGAGGGACCACCGTGTCGGGACACGGGGGTGGTTGTGCGGTGATAGGAAATGCAGAATATTGCAAAGCACCGAACTTGCACCCTGGGGCAGCTGTGTGTCCGTCCCCAAAGGCCCCTTTTGCCCAGCGGTGCCGGGGTGGCGGCGGTGGCAGCGCTGCCTCGTCCCGGGCACAGCCCGAGCTCCGCGAGCGGGAGAGAGGCTGCGAACTTCAGCACTGCGGAGATGCTGCCCATCAATATTGCAAAGCGGGGAAATAAAATAACGTGGGGGATAAATGAAGCTGCTTTCACCTCAACTGGAAAGAAATATATAAGCAGAAGTGCTCCAGATAGTCCCAACTCATCTCTCCCAAATTGCTCCTCTGCAAGTTGCTTTGGCTTTCCTCCCGGTGCTGATGTCTCCAGCCCACGCCGGCGCAACGCAGAGTGTTTATAAAGCAATTTGGGATTTGGCTTGCTTGGCTGCACACTTCAGAAACTCATTTTGAATAGAGAGCGCATCTGCCGTGGGATGGGCTTGGGGACGGGGACGGCACCTCCGGAGCACCTGGGCTAGGAGCTCGGTGACACGTCCCGTGGCCCCCTGCCCCTGCGGTGGGAGGACGGGGTGACAAGAGTGTGTCGTGTGTGTCACACAGCGGAGATGAGAGTGCTTGTAGTTCGGGGACAGGAGTCCTTGAAAGGTCCGGGGCTGTGGTCTAGGGACAAGCTCTGGCACTGCGATTCCTGCTGGCTAAATTGTGGGAAATGACTGAACTTTTCACTTGGGGCTTTCCTGGCGAGGTGGATGGCGGATTCGAGGAAGGGTGGGCGGCACGTGGTTACTACCACCCTTAATGCGGAGCAGCTGCTGCTTGGGCAAAGCCACCTTGGGCTTGGCCCCTGGTGGCTGCGGGAAAAAGTGAGCGGAGAAGCTTTTGCATCTGGCCCTGTGCCAGCAGGTCCCATGGGATGGGAGGACATGGGATGCCAGGGGATCTGTGCAATGCAGATTCCCTGGTGCCGGCCATCCCCGCGTTGCCATCCGTCCAACGGGTCTTCGCAAAGCGCTTCCCTGATGCGGAAAACCACATCCCCACCTCGTGTCCTCCATAAGCTCCGAAGGAAAAAAGAGGATTTTTTTGCACAAGAGACAAGCCTTGGCTTACAAGTGGGTACTTGAGCAGTGAATAGGCCGATTGCTGCCGCGGCTCCTGCTCGCCGCGCGCCTGCGGGCTGCGACCCCGCGACGCGACGCGGTGCCGAGCGGTGCTGAGCGCGGCGCCTCGCTCCGCCCGGGCGCCAAGCAGCCATTCAGGAGCCCAAATTGCGGGAAGCGCCGTGAAAAGGTAGCGCAGGTGGCTGCTGAATAGGCTCCCGGGCAGCAGCAGGGCTTTGTGCCGCCGCCGGCAGCTCCGCGTGCGGCGTTCCCGGCTCCGACTCCCCGGCGGGAGCCATGCGGCAGCGCAGCGATGAGTCACCTGGGAGGGATCGCGGATTTTTCCACAGGTCCCATGGACTCGCGGTGCCCCAGGGGGGAAAAAGTGCCTGCTAGTGCCTTCTCCCATAATTCCTTCCATTCCCCTGGGGGTTTGCACCCATTCCAATCCCTAAGCAGCTTCCTACAAGGTTTTCCTCTGGGAAAAATGAGGCCCTTGCTCAGGAGAGGTGGGAGAGGGGAAGCTGCAAGCGCTGGTTCTGCATTCGGGTAGCACCAAGCAGCCTTTTGGCACCACGGAGCTTCAGCTCTGCAAGCTGAGTTAGGAAAGCAGCACAAAAGCTTCACTGTTGAGAGGCTGCTGGGGAAAAAATTGCTAAGGGGAAAATATTCTGCTGCCTTTCTGAACAGCCCTCGTGTGCTGCTCCTCCAGCACTTCTTTGCAAGTGAGATTTAAGTGACTCGGACTCTTAATCTTCGGTGCAATTCCTGTTTAGGCGAGACTGCAGCTGGGAGATTAGTGCCAGGGTTAGTTAGGAGAAGATGGTTTTGCAGTCTGGCAAGCCTTAATTTTCCTGGAAAAAGACGGGGGGTCTCCAGGGGGCCCTTTCTAAGATACCTAAGCAAGTGGAAGCGCCAGGGAGGAGCGGTTCGGAGGGATGTCAGTGCTTGCACCTGGCTGCTATTCCTGGCCCCCAGGGCTTGCGTATCAAGCTGTGTCCAGCAAATCTCTTTTCCTGTTAATTTACTGTCCGGCGACATGAACGCTTCCCAGATTCCGTATTTCCATCCCGGCTGCAAACTTGGTGACTCGCACGTTTGGCGCAAGCAGTGGAGGGGAAGAGGGTCAGTTAAGGGGGGATGAAGGAGGGCCGGGGAGGCCGAGGAGTTAAAACCCGGCGCTCCTTTGTGTCCGGAGCGAGGAGGAGCCGGCCGGGCGCAGGTAGCGGGGCCGCGCGGGCGCGGGGGCGGCCGCCGAGAAGCAAACAAGCCCTTTCTGGCGGGCGGCAGCCGAGGCCGCGGCCGCCCACGTCCCCCATTATGATATTCAAATGCCAATATAGATTTAATTGGCTTACGTGCCCCCTCCTCCAGCTGCCTGTGGTAATTAAGGCTCTGCAAATAGATTTTACTGTAATTGCTACGAGGAGGAGAGTCGGAGGCCGTTGCAGGGTGCATCGGCTTTCCCCCCACCTCCTCTTTTGGCTCGTGTCGCATCTGCGGCTGTCGGCGCCGAGAGGGACAAGGTGGAGGGATGTGGGCGTCCTGCACATGGGACCCGAGCAAGGAGGCCGGGAGGTCCCTTTCGGGAGAGGAAATGAGGGGAAAAGGGCCGACAAATCCGACTGAGTTGGAGTCCAAGTCCTCGTGGCTCTGTGTGGCTCCCCAGTTCTGCATTCAGAAATTGTTCTTGGATGTTCTTGGGCTGGGGTTTCTAAAATGTTTTATTATTATTATTATTATCACTGTTTTTCTCCTCTCCCTTTTCTTGCTCTTCCAGCCTGTGTAAAGGACGGACTCTCTACTCGGTGGTGAGAGATGCCAAAATGGTCCTGGACGTCAACAAGACGAGGCAGATAGCCCAGGAGATCGTCAAGGTGCGCCGAGGGCCCTGGGGTGCCTGGTGACTCCAAGTGCACCTCTTGGGGCCTACGAATAGGTGCTGGGGAGGGAGGGCGGCCCAGTGCAGCCAGGGTGATACGGTTTGGGAAGTGGGTGCTCACAGGTCCCAGGTTCCCTGCTTGTGCCCGGGGGTTGGACTTGACCAATGTTGGGTTTGACTTCAACCAAAGAGCTCCAAAGATGGGGAACCACCATGGGGTCATGCTAGAAAGGCCCTGAGCGGCCGTGGTGGGGTGGGTGACACCACTTTCAATGGTGTCCTCGATGCCTCTGTGCTGTGCCCCAAGAGGCTGCAGCGCAGAGACGCGCGGTCGGTGCCTCTGGTCCCTCCTCCAAAGGAACAGTTTGGGGCCAAATTCTGCATTTGCACAGAGGTGGTTTCACCCAGCACACGTCTCCTTCACATGTCCGTGTGCGCCAGCACTGGCAGCCTGGCTGGCACCGGGATTAACGGCACTCTTATCCCGTGGGAGGCTGCTTCTCCCATGGCGCTAAACGGCTGCCCCACGGAGCCATCAGCGACTTGGGGTTTCCCACCCGCGGCCTTGCTTTGCATCATTAGCAATAATTTTAATTAAGCACCATGAAGCTTTCCTAGGGAAAAAGAATGAATCCGGTGCTCCTCGGAGATGCCTGCTTGCAGGCTGATTGTGTGCGCGTGGGCAGCCTCGGCGCCTCCGGATGGGCACGCAGCCCGGGGGTGCCGGGGGGAGCTCTCTATTTCGGGATGTGCCAGCCGGGCTGTCCCCATGTCGGCAGCTGCGGGAGCTGCCCCATCTCTGCTGGTGTCCACCCCGTTTGCTCCAACCTCTGGTTTCAGCTATTTTAGTGTTCCTTCTTTTCCGCTCCCAGGGAATGGGCTACCTGCACGCCAAGGGCATCCTTCACAAAGACCTCAAGTCAAAGAACGTTTTCTACGATAACGGCAAGGTGGTGATCACAGACTTCGGCCTCTTCAGCATCTCGGGAGTGCTGCAGGCGGGCAGGTAGGAGCAGCAGGATCTCTGCAAGGATCCGGTGCGCAGGAGCGGGATGGAGGATCCTCCACGCGGAGCTGGTGGGAGGACATTGCCAGGCTGCTGCATTCCAGTCTCCGGCACCGTTTGATGTGTAGGGCCCAGACCTGGCTCCAGATGGGTGTCTTTGCCCCAAACTCTTCCATGCCCAAAATCCCCTGGGAGAGGTTGCTCGGGATCTGTTTCACCGGGGTCAGGAAAGCCGGCTTGTCCCTGCCCTTTCCCCAGCGCAGCCCCTATAATCCTCCGGCAGCTGCTCCAGCCCACCAGCTGCCGAGCTTTGCTGACAGCTCTGAGGTTTCCCAGTGTGAGAGAGGGTTTCCACCGGAAATGTTGTGACAGAGCAAACACGGTGTCACCCACACCAGCAGCCCCGGGCTCTTCCCTCTTGGAGCACAAGGATGCTCAGGAGATAAAGCATATATTCAGATTTACGTGGTTTTCCAGTTATGGCATGGCAAGGTGATTAGAAATGATTGCAGGCTTCCAGTTTTTATTTACTTATCTATTTATTTATTTTTTATACAAGCTTAGCCAAAAGGTTTGGAAGCCCAAAAATGCAGCCGGGCTCCCGCTTTCCCCAAGGGTCCGGCAGTGGAAAAGGGACTTTGAGCTTATCCTGGCTCCTTACTCCACCAAAATGACTGGGTTTTGGCATGAACCGGCTGTTGTTGGAGGTCTGAGGGAAGGTTTCCAGTTTTGGGGGGCTGCACTCGCCAGCTGTGACAGATTTTGAAGCAGAAAGTGTCCAAGGGTCTGATTTCCCTTTTCATCATTACGTGGGTGATGTTCCCCAGGGACCTTCTTTGTTATGACTTTTCCCAGACCAAGATGAGCCAGACTAAGCCAGTTTGGGGACAACTGAGGCTTCTTGGTGAACACTGACTTGGAGAAGGGAGCTTGCCGAGGGTCAGGCCGTGCTCTTGCATTGGCTTGTGAGTGCAGAAGGGAAACGTGCCCGGGGTTTTCTCCGCTAGCACTTGCCTTGTGGTGGCCAAAGCGTTAACAGACCGTCCTCTTCCTCCCAATGAAGGCTGGCCTTGTATTGCTTCCTACAATCTGGGCAATAATTCAGTCGCTCCTCTCAGGAATACGGCTGGCTATCACCGCTGCGTTGGAGAGACTTTGTAATTGAACGTCTTCAGCCTGATAAAAAACATATTTATCTTTCCTTTATATAAAACATCATTGGGCTTGGCAGGGCTGTTCTGTAATTAGGAGGAGCGTGAGGTGGATTTTGAGAGCTCTGAAGGGCTCTTCTGCCATCGCTTTTAACGGCGGGCTCGCTTTCCATCGCAAGATGCTCACTTGATTCAGCCCCTTCCTATTAATCAAAGCGGCTGTGTTGTGTATGAAACCAGCCCAACTTTCGTTATGAAACCCTCTATTGCCGTCATTTACTCTGGGTTTTGTTCCAGCTCAGCCCTCGGTGCTGGAAGCTCAGGAGGTACCCGGGGGGTGCCCGGGGGTCTGTGAGCGTTGCGGGGAGCTGGGCTGGGCTCGTGTGGGTGCTCTAGAGCAGACCCCACTGCCAGACCCTGCTGGTGAGAGCAGCGGGGCCCAGCCTTGCGGTGTCACCAGACTGGGCGAGCTGAGCACACAAGGACCTCAGGCTCCAAAGCACCCCAGAACTGGGGAGGAGCAGGGGGGACTGCGGGAAAGGCCGCCCGCCCAGGCCCTCCTTGCCCAGCACCTGCCTCGTTGTCTCTCCCACCTTTCCCTCCCGCGGGCGGGAGTCAGGAGCGCGGACGTCAGGAGCACCGGCGGGGAAGGCAGAGAAAGCACCTTGGTGCCTCTCTTAATTGACCCCAGTGCTTAATGGCAGCTTGTAATTAAGAGCCCTGTGTATAGATCCATGATGGCAATCGGAGCTTGCCGGTGGGAGCCGAAAGCTTCCCTCCCGTGTGGGAGTGCTCTCACCTCTGCTGCCGGGGAGCAGAGGCGCCCGAGTGTCCCCCCAGCTCCTGACCGCCGCGCCGCCCCCTTCGCGGCCGAGAGGAAGAGGAGCTGTCAAGTGCCCAGGGCGCTGACGGAGCCGTAACGAGCCAAGCCCGCTCCTCGCGCTGTCCCGAGGCTCCGGCGCCGGCCCCTGCCGCGGTGCCGCCTTGCTGATGGGCAACACGAGTTGCCGGCGCTCTGCCTGAGCCAGCGCGGGGGAAGCGGGACCCGGAGCGCCCCGAAGGAGGGACTTCAGCTCTCAGCATGACGGGATCGCAGGACAGACCCACGCTTTGAGAGAGATTTTGGTCTCTGACGTTTGTGAGGATGGATGACTCCGAAGGCTGCTGCTCCCCTCATGGGGTCAGTGACCTATGGAGGGAATCAAGGCGCCCAATGAAGACTCCTCATCACACAGCTCCGGTTACCTTCTATGGTTTACGCTGCCAAATCCAGTTCAGACACATGATCGAGGTGCTTAACACATCACCACTCATCAGCTGCACTCTCGTATCATGTAGCTGCTCTTGGCTCACCGTAAATGCCAAGTAATGCTGGGTAGCTCCTTGTTGGACTGCCTGTGTTCCACAACCTCATCCAGAGTGGCTTGTCCCTCCAGGGGACCTCAGATGGTGAGGGAAGAACATTGGCTTTGTGGAACATCTCCTTGGGCAGCAGGAGCAAGGGGAATACCACACTAGTTGCCTGGAGGTTGTTTTTGATGGCAGGGGCACCTGGTCGGTGCCTGCTGAAGGTGAAGGAATGAGGAAGCAGCTACCTGAGGGCAGCGGAGTCCTCTGCCCAGACAGGTTGGCCACTCTCCATCCTTGGAGACACTCACAAGCCCTCTGGGCAGGGTCTTGGGCGACCTGCTGGACAAACTGCTTGGAGATAATGGAGTGCCCTTATGAAACACTTGAAAAGACAGTTTTTCAAGCTGTTATTGTAGGGTAACTTAGGTTAGAAGGGACGTCTGGAGGTCCCTGGTCCAGCCTCCTGCTCAGAGCAGGGTCAACTGGTACCAGGTTACCGAGAGCCCTGTCAGGTAAACGGAGAGTCCCCCCGGTCCCTAGGGGAGGACTTTTAGTGCAATGGTGGCAGGGGGTCTCGGCGGTGACGTGGGGATGTGGCGGCGACGGGGCCGGCCCCTCACCGCGGCGCCGGGGCTTCCGCAGGCGGGAGAACAAGCTGCGCATCCAGAACGGCTGGCTGTGCCACCTGGCGCCGGAGATCATCCGCCAGCTCTCGCCCGACACCGAGGAGGACAAGCTGCCCTTCTCCAAGCACTCGGACGTCTTTGCGCTCGGGTGAGTCCCCCGGGCGCGGGGCAGAGCAGCCGGATGCGTCGGAGCATCTTCAGCGGGGGGACATTCCCACGTAATCCCCACAATTCCCCAACCCATCATGTTTAAGGGGAATGGCGAATTTGCCATGATCCCAGGAATTCAAGGGGATTGGTGTTTGCCATGACGTCCTTGAACACCCCCAGCATGGCTAGAAATCAGTGAGAGAGGGATGGGGGACAGTGATGCTCCAAAAAACCCAGATTCATGGGGATCTGAATCCTCATGACAGCAGCCCCATCACTCTCCTAGCAAAAACCTTCCCCAGGGCTGTTGGTTCTGTGCGGCGGGTTAATTTGTTGGCACGCTGTGCCCGTGGACACTAAGGCTGCAGTTCGCAGTGATTAGTGTGCGGGGAGCTGCTATCAGATGCAATGTTTCCATCAAAA